TCACGCGCTTTTTTGCCCGATCAGCAGGCTGCCGTTCTCATACGGAAGTTAATATTACGAGCACAACTATCGGTGAATGTCTGGAGGCGTGAAGAGGAGGAAAAGGGACCACCCTATATTGGTCTCGTTGTTGAACGGTTACGGGCGATTCGAGCGCTTGCTGCACATGCCACACCTGTCTCATAGTCTAAATGTTTAGACTTTGGAATTATCGAAATTGGTGATGGATTTGATGGCACAGTGGAATGCTAGGTTTGTGGTTAATGAATGAAATTTGTTGAATGATGTCAGCGTGTTAGTGGAGATAATTCCATCATATTTCCATTCTTTCTAAGCCGACATTAACGGAATGAGTCGTCAGAATTTCCTAAAGATAACATGCCAGCTTTGCTCTTAATAGTTTAGCAATTCAGTCATTTATTACTGATCCTTAATAGGTTTTTATATGGTCATAATCTCATTTGTAAATAGCGTATGAGCCGTTTTGGCAAATTGTCTTTTTTTACTTATTTTTTATTTTTATTTTGAACCATATATTTGCATGATTTTCTTTTCTGATGATAGTTCACTAAATGAATAAACTTATGAAATTGCTACAATATTCCACGTTTGTATAAAAATATTTTATTTGAATATGAAAATAAATACAAAAAAGTTACAAAACAATCTTTTATTTTATATTCAAATAAATAGGATGCATTGCCTAAGCCTAAGGCGGACATTATATTCTAAAAGATTAGAAGCATCATTATCAGTTTATTATACTCGTATGAGAAACGGCTGCCGATATACTGTTATACAGTGGTAAAGCTGAGTGAAACTTGAAACTTAAGTAAAATACATGTAAAGAATTCATGAAAACATGATTTTAGATCATCATTCTTGATAGTGATATTTTATCTGTGTGTGTTCTGTCAGTTAATTTAAAAATTGCTAATTTAAAAATTATCATCCACTGAGATTCTTCTGTTCCTTCAACATAACATACTGATAATTTGAAATAATCATATTAGAGGTATCTCGAACAATCAATGCATTATTCCCGTAAGAATAGCGACCTTTCATGAACTTCCCAGAAACTGTCGCAAAATTCGGTTGCAGGAGTTTTAAGAGAAAAAATATTTGAAGACCTAATAAAGTGGAGGAAGAATGCAATTGAAATTCAGTAGAAGTGGATTTAATTAAATCATGGAAAAAAAGAATAAGCGAATGATCTACAACACATCATCATCTTGAATGTTTTCAAAACGCAGTCGATCCTTTTCGCGCTCTGAAGATATGAACAACTCGGTTTTCTGAGCAATCCGTTTACAACCAGATGAAGAATAGATCGGATTTGTTTTAGGGAAGTACTGAAAAAGATAACCTCAATAAGAAAACATCTGGTGGCAAAGAACATATCCATTCTAAATAACTTTAGTCCGTTCTGGGACATTTTCTATATTTTTCTTGTTACGGGAAGAAAGCATTTAGAGATTCAACTCAATCAGGGGGAAAAATATTCCGGAAAAGATTTTACCTGCAAAGAATCGGCAATAGCAGTGATACGTTCGTCAGTTGGCGTGAATTCATGAGAAAGCATATAATCTCGAATACAAAGCAATATGTGTCTCCTTTCTAGGGGTAAGAATGGGACAAAATGGTCAATCAAATGTGCTGAGATCAATTCGCTCATTTTTAACCCACCTAAAGTTTCAAAAAACTTGAAATAATTAGATAGGAGACTGAAATTTCTTCTTTCATGGGACATTTCAGAAATCAAAGCAATAGTAATCACAAATTATTTTGATTTAACTTATATTCTGCAGTTTTTAAACAGTAGCTATTTCGCTGTGTACTTTTTAAACTGTTGCAGAAACAAGTCCAGTATTTTGAGATGAAAAATAGCATACATGAAGTCATATTCAATGTTTTATGCGATAATAGTTCTTTGGTTGTTTGAAATCTTCAAGGATAAAAATTTCCAAAAAAAATTCCTTCAACTAATTATCTAATTATACCTTGGCAGCTGTTTCTTACTTTTTTCAAAGTTTGACTTTTGCTATACCAGGTTTCTTTACTTCTTTGGTATATATTTGATGGTAATTTTTGAAGAAAGATATAATGAAAAGTAAAACTTACCTTCAGTGTTAAATGCGCTAGCCATGACAACATCTTCCATCTCTTTCAGTGTTATTGTTTCTCTTATTTTTCCATCTTCATAATGTTGAAGCGCTTTCTGCGCTATTTCATTACTTCCAGAATTACTGCAAATATTATTCAAATCATGGATCTTTATCATACATTAAGCTGCAGTAAGATGATTTACTATTGGGTAAAAAATTCTGAATCTTGTTCAAAGCTAGGAATTTGAAACTGATATAGTAAATGGTCTATTCTTTACTTAAGAAAATGGCGGACTTCAATTTTCAACTTTCGGAAAAGATTATGTATATCAACTCTCGTGATCAAGCATCGTAAATTTCAATTCAGAGATAAAACACATATTATGCTTATGAATTTTTGAAATCTACACTTATGGATTTAATAATACCAGTCATTTCTAAGAGCGTGAATTCCGATCAGTGATGGTTTTTTATTGGATATCTTATTCATTACTTATGGCTATACATAAAAAAAGCCTACCTTTAAGACACATTCTAGAGAGCTAGAAATGAAATCAGTTTGGCATCATAAAGCAAATGAAAGTGAAAACTAAATGATAAAAGTCAATACAAAAAAACAAAAAGCTTACCTCAAGAAAATAAAAATACTTTTCCGAAAATCAACACCTTCCAAATGTTCATAATGGTCGATAAAAGGCTTTAAGGCATCAATTACTTTAGCAGGCATTTTGTCTACTTCGTCAAAGACAAACAAACTTCGTTCGCATCTCGATACATTCCCTTGTATCCATGAACGCAACTGTACCTATACGTTCCAAATAAATCAAAATTTCTAATCATAATCATCGAAATCTTTATTTGCGAAAGGAAAATGAAATTCAAGTAAGCTACCTGATAAAGCGGTATTTCCAAATAGTTTGAAAAATGTAGCGTCGAAATATAAACATGAACATATTCACTTTTCATTCCCTTCCTACAATTGCCATGGTAATTGATGAAAAGAGAAGTTGCTTGAATTTTTGAATTAATTTCAAGAAATTTTTTAAACTAACGTGTATAAATTATCGACAATCATAGAACTAAGATAATTTTTACCACAACCAGTCCATCCATGGAATGACATCACCAAAGCCTTCTTAGGATTTCTGAAAATATAGTATCAAATAATCATTTAAATTTGCTTACTTATGACCCATGCTGAAGGAAATTTCTACTTCAAAACACTCGAAAACAAATTAATATTTGCACACATCACAATACGCTAAAAAGAAATGAACTTACGGATTTTCCCAATGCGCAATTGCAGCTGTTATTATAGTTTCCTTGGCCAAATGCTGCCCATACAATCGTGTATGCATAGAATGCTGCAAGCCTATAATTTAATATTAAATATGTCCCTTATTATAATTCAATAGTTAAAACATTTGGTAGCCACTACTTTTCACATAGCACTTACTTATTCTGACATAACATGTAATATACATTTCAAATCGTATCAAGGTGATAAGAATCAGAAACTGTCGTCAGCTTAGCAATTAAATCAACTTCCATATTCTCATTACACTGTTATCCGTTGGTTTGGAATCGAGCTACTTGATAAATATGAGTTCATTTTAAAGAATAGTATGTCGGAAGTACTCATCAGGACATATAAAAAAGAAAGAAATGTAGCACTAACTACCGATAAATTTATATAGAATATAAATTGAAATGAAGCCAAACATAAGTTGAAATACTTCTTAACACAAGAACTCAAACATGAAATAAATAGTAAACAAGAAGTACTCATGCAGTGAACAGCAAACATTACCTGTATAACTTCCTCGTACCCAACGACTGTTACAACATTCAAAAAGTTTGCATCGTATATAGTAACTGAAAATGCTTAATGAAGCGGCAATTGCTGAACCAGTGCCCACTAAAACACTTAAAGGTTCTCCATATACCTGCAAATGATATCACTTTTCATAACATGACAGCAATAAAAATTACAATTGAAAGCTAAAGATTACATTAAGCTATTACATTGTAAATTTATTTAACTTTATTTATTCATCATCCTTAATGCAGTAAATAAGCAGAAATATTGAGGACTAAACTAACTTGCAATCCAATCACGTATTATTTTCCCCTCAAGACTAAAAAATTGTCTAACTATAGTGTTAATTTGACAATTGCTACCTGGTAACATATTAAATTTTGAGTACAAAGATATAAGAGAAGCAAAAGAATACTCCTCGCGATATTCATGATTTATAGCCAATGTTGCTGTTAACGCTCATACTAAATAGCGCCTTTTGCAAACATCCAGTAGGTCGAATATTGACAGCATGTAAAAGGCCTGCAAACTTAGCATATTGATGATACCCCAAGGAACAAATTTCATTACTTCGATTAATTTTCGCACTTCACATGAGATTGCAGATGTTTTAAATTTCAATAAGGGTTAAAACTACCACCACCTTCGTGCCCTTTTTTAAATATTTTTCTTAGGTAGAGTAAGGATAAACAATCTAATCTATTGGTAATAAACCAACTGGTAGATAAAACGATGGAAATCTGTTTAACAGTGTCGTATGATCATATCAAGATGCGTTGAATGATCCGGTACGTGACATAAAAGCATATAAAATTGAATAGAAGTTTGGATTTGTTTGAAAAAGTTTTCTTCAAGATAAGTCTTTGAACTTAACGATGGATCAACATCAATCTTGATTTTCATTCAATCTTCATCAAACTGTGTAAACAAAACAACGAAAGACACAATAAGCAAAAATCCAAACGACTTAAAATTTGCTCATAACTGCTTAATTTTAACGTCAGAACTAAGTAAGTTGAAAATAATTGAACATTTTACAATAGAGACCAAAATGCAATCATTTTCAAAAAAGACTGTTAATCATCATCCCTAGCAAAAGTTTCTGCAACATTAACATAGCTGATTGCTCGAACAAGAGATGACTGATAACTAGTACTACGATCATATTCCCATCGCATAAGTGAAGTTGCTGAGCCACTGATTTCAAAAACACGACTGTTATCTGCAATTTCTTATATGCATACTCAAATTTTTGATCTTTTTACAGTTAAAGTCTCTTTGGATAGAAAAATGAACGATTAAGCTCTAGAAAAATGTAATTACACATTTCTTTGGCAACCTTAGAGAAAAATTAATTACAAACCTCTGTTTTCTTTCTCTACAACAGCATATAACACATAGCCATCAGGAAACTGCTGCTTCACTCCATTCAAAATACGTCCTCTAAATGTTGCGACTTTCTTTCCATCTATAAAACATTGCCACGCTTTTCATTAAGGTGATCAAATGTTATGAAAAACAAAAATCAAATTTGACTCCCTAAAAACTTAGCACGTTAGACGTTTATGAATTATTGTAATCTCAATGCTACCTCCCCATCACTTCAGCATAATAGTCTCCAAAGGCTATACGCTCTTAAAAAGCTAAAAAATCGAAAGATTTTTTTCAACGTCTCTTCCCTACCATGCATTTCGCAGTATACCTAGCTCTACTTGACTAAAGATTTCACGGTACCATAAAAGACCTAATGTTCATACATTGGCTATATCCAAGAACTTATAATTTTATTGTATATTATTGTAAGACAAACAAGAAAAGCCACCTCCCAATTCCTCAGTAATAAAATACTGTGATACTTTTGCCGGTCCGTCGTACTTTATTTTGCATGGTAGCAAATGAAATTCATTGGTGAAATCGCCATTGCTCATTGGGCCATTTTCGAAAATAATACTTTTTGGTTCCTTGACATGTCCCACTGCGATAACCGCATTTTCAGGTATTTCCAATGCGATTTTTTTCTTTCTTTCCGACATGAACTATGTTACAAAAGTTCTCTTCTAACACAAAACAAATAATTACATAAAGTATCCTCTTCTTTAATTCTAAAATATAAAGGTCGGAGAAATAGATAATACCACATGGAACAGGACTGCGTACTGATTGCTTATTAAACTTCAAGCAAAATATTTCACAATTGAATAAACTTTATGCTATGAAGCGATGTGCACTGCCATCTGTTCGAATTTCTCTTCAATTGATGGTAGAATATTATATCAATTAATTTGTAGGAAGAAAACAAAAAAAGGAGGTAAAATTCATTTTCCATTGAAATAATACGCTGTCATTTTAAATGGCAATTTTGAAACATTCCTAAAAGTCTTCCTGGTTCTTTTGAAATCATTTGAGTCACATAACTTCAATATTCAAACAAAAATCTATGAGATCATATTACGGAAAACTCGAGTTAGGTTATCAGCAAACACATTTGACGAATCCCATTCATCAAGTTGCAAGCCCTGAAGAAACTCTGGAGAAGAAGTGAGTCTACGCGGAAAAATATTCGGCTCTGACCAATCAATCACCAAAAATAGCTGAAAGCTTTTTCTTGTATGCCACTGTTCGCATAACAATGTGACGGCTATCTGCAATGCACAAGTATTGGTCAAAAGATAAAGCAAATTATATATTAATAGAAATGGACTAGACAGAAATTTTGCAGTTGAGATCACACATTCCTCTAGGCCATGGATGGTGTAGAATTATATTGTCACTGTGCTAAAGACTACAAAATTCTGGTCAATTTTAGTAGTAACAGTGAAATGTATGCAATTTTGCAAGACAACGATAAAAAAATCGATAATGTCACAGAGATGTCATGAAAAAAACTGTATCACGAAAAATCTCGCACCGAAATCAGGAAGAAACATAAATGCTTACACAAGTAGGGTCATCTTCATCGACTGTCCACCCTATGAATGTAAATGGATATTTGACATCTGAGCACAGTCCTACTGCCTGGTCGATCCTAAAATTAATTTATATCACTGAAACATCGAGGAAATACAGCCACTGCGCAGACTATTTCCAATTAATGAATTAGCAATAAAAACTAACTAACGTAATTAGCTTGCTTACCATATTTTCTATCCTGAGATAGAAGGAACTGAAAAACATTAATGAATGAAACATCGCTGTACCTCAAACAGCAGTGAACGAAGCGATGATACAACGAACAAAGAGTATCACCATTCTGCCATGAATATTGAAATGCAGAACCCAAATTGGTAACCACTTCAGGACCAACTATAGAAAAGGATTCAGTCCAGCGTAGCTTCAAAAAATAACTGCTAGCATCCAACCTACAGAAATTACATTCTTTTATGATTATATAATTACGTCATATAACCATAATTATGTAAATGGAAGCAAATTTCAGAAAGTTTATTAGAGACCCTACATCAATAAATAGCCATTTCTTATGCAAAAAAAAACCAACCAGCTATAACGATTATAACTGTTCAAAAATCACTGTTCTAAATCCAACAAAATCGGTGGGTAAAGCTAACAGACAGAGGGTAACACGCATGTCAACCAAGTTTGAGTCATCCCCTGATGTTAAACTTTCCAACCACAAACCTTCTCGAGACTTATAGGCAATTCTTTAATCCGAGCTAATAACAGCTCTACTTACTATTAATGTGACAGATGCATCTTGATAGAAAAATTGGACCCAACCTTAAAGTGAGTGTTACTTGTTGGAATGAATTATTCACTTCAGAACAGCAATCCTCACCGGCCAGTTCGCACAGCTGTTTAAGCCATTTCCATTCAGATTCAAACAGCCCAGACGTACCGGTTTCGCTATCTACACTTGCACATTCTATCAGGAAATCATTCCATGGCACCAGTGGTACTTCCATCAACCTGATAACAGAATCCATTTGGATACACTCTTAAAAACATTCTGCGCTCATTGTGAGGAAGCGCTTTAATAATTCTCTCAATAATAAGAGAGCAAATCACTGACTGAAACAATAACACAGAACAACTTTTTTTTCAAATTTTGAAAATTTTTTATTGCAATCAATAATTCACATAAAAAATAAAATACACAACAATAGTAAACAAGCAGCTGTACAATTTGTACTCCATGGATTATGATTTCTCACCGTAATATGGAATTCCAAATTAAAAAAAATGGCACGATTGAAACCACTTATATTCTGCATATCAGAGGGAAGTGAAAACCAGTAAGTCTACCAAAACTATCTGTAGGTTGGATTCAAATCACAATACAATTTTATTCAAATTACTGAATCCAATACCAATACAAGTCATCAGGACCTTCTCATTGGAACCTAATCTCTGCTCTTTATCTTCGCACAGCTCGTTCCAATTGTCCATTTTAAAACTTATTTCGAAATACTTCTTCAAGTTCCGCAATGTGAAAATACTGGAAATTATAAAGAAATTACTTGAAAAATATGGAGCACATTTTGATAAAATGATGAACAAATCAGTTTGTGTCCGCTGATTCAATTTCTTATTGAATATTAATGACATAATATTGAAATGTCTCTTAGTACTGCAGAAAGCTGTGGTGTATGTTCCACGACAATGAAAAATTTCTTCTTCTTGAGCAAGAAGTAAAATACCCGAAAAAAGAGCCATCATAAGAAATATAGATGCATTCACTATTTGGAAAAATAAGGAAGCACTTAACACATTTCCAGAAAAGCAAATGATACTAACCAATAGGAAGACAGGGGCCCAAAAAGATATGTACTGACATCCTTTTCGCAAAGTGTCATGAAAGTCACCGCTAGAGTTTGAGCTGTCGTGTCAAGACATCCTCCCTGGAAATAGTAATCTATGCAAAGTAACGGTAATTTTTCAATATAATCTAACAATGAAAAAGAACAAAATTTACAGCAAAGATCTGATCCAATAAGTTGCAAGCAGCGGTGTGCCCAACGTCTTCCGGCAGAACTGGGTCGCCTTGTTCACCTTTCGGTTTTGATACAGCTTCACCATGATAAACAATTCCTTCCGTAGTTTCGGCAGTTAAAAAAAGACCAAAGCCAGGGGAGCTAAAGAACTAATTACTAAATATTATTCAAATAAAGCAGATATTTTTTTTTGAAAAAAATTGTGGTTCAGCTGTAAACTAAATGAGGCACCAATAGAGATTTATTGACAATATTTACGCTATCTATACTTTAAATTTAATTGTTCATTCGTCTCCCACTTCTATCTCTTGCAAAGCAAAGTGTTTGCTGTCCCGACTACAAAATTCGCTAAAAGCACCATATCTGGAAATAATCACCCCACAAACAATACCGATAAACATGAAAAGTCCATTATGACCAAACGAAAAGAAAGCCCCCTAAAGAAGAAAAAGGTGATAAAATGGCATAATATTAATACCTCCCACCAGATGCTCCTTTTCTTTGGTCAACAGTGATATAAATGTCAGCAATGTAATCACGAAGATTCTGTTTTGCTGCGTCAATCATACGATGTGCTATAGATGGAGAAACTTTAGAAACAGACGCCATTCCGCGTATTTTGCATATTTTTCCCATTGTTTTACACTAAACTACCACAAAAAGTAAAGCATTTAAATATATATATATCTGAATATGATTAAATATTTATAACAGAACTAAGGATACGAAAATACAAAGAAGAAAACAAGTGAAACACCGCGTACATGCTTTTATGAAGAAAATTGAAAAATGTTCCAGCATAAAGGATGAAATATCCTAAAATTAAAAACAAAGAAAAAAACCATATTAAAAATGACCTGTACTGGACGAAAAGTTCTTATTGTTGGTGCAGTCAACAGTACGCATCCACCACCATCCGGTTTGTAACCTCGAGCAACAATCTAAATTTAATTTCATTTCTTTTTCAAATTATATAAATACGATCAAATTTCCATACCAGTTAACAGTGAAGAAGTAAGTAAGTTATTAAACCTTAATTTCTGGTAAATCAGATGCGAATACAAATTTATTGAAAACTGGAAGCCATGTTGCACGAATGGCGTCAACGCTCAATTCACATGGAGCGTTGGTTACTCCTTGCAGTTTTACGTTGAGTGGATATTTGCAAAAGGGAGCAAGCATCAACAAGGGTTCCAGGTAGTAACTGCAAAACAGTGTTTCCAAGGTTAATTATAAAAGAAAAGCAGTATTGAATAGTGATGATAATTAAAAAAAGCAACTAGAAATAGTTCAAAAAAAGATCAGAATAATCCGTAATTCCATAGGGAACAATACATTCTCCTAAAAGTTGATGATCAAACAAATCTAGTCATCTGTGAGTTGAATAAATGAGTAAACGAATCGAAAATAATTAACAATTGAGACTATCCACCAAAAATAACAAAAATCATTTATCAAATATGAATAAATTTAAATTTGAAATATTAAAGATTATGAAAAGCCAACCTTATACATCGGTCACTACCACAATCAAAAGTGAGTTTTCCACCCGTGATCATGCCAGGCGAGAATGCAACCTCGGTACCTGGAAAGAAAAATTTAACGTCATAGTTAATCGCAATTTCAAGATCATACAATAGCAGCATATGGTTGATGAACCTGTATGGTTGATTCTGATTCGCGTACCATTAGTTATCTTTTCCAACAATAATAAAAGTTTTGATTCGAAATCTGAAGCGAACAAAGGGTCGGCTTTTTAAAGAAAGGCATAATGTTTAAAAAAAAATTATATCCTAAAAATATGCAAAACATTGGAATTTCGAAACCAAAAAAAACGAAAAAATTCAAAAATCCACATCAAGTTTTTTTTGAAAAAACTATTACTGAAATGAAATCATAGCTAAAGTTCACGAAAGCTAAAGTTAGGAAAAGAACATATCAAGCATCTATCAAAGAATAAAGTAAGCTATACCAATTATCAAATATGACATCATAGACAAAGACTTGATGAGTACATACCCTTTATTCCAGGCTCATCATCACAGGGACGTATCTCGGAGATAATCACCGAATGACCACTTAGTAATGAGTAAGCAAGTCTTTGTCTGAAGAAGTTGCATCCTTTAAAGAGCAACTCTTTCTGCTCCATCACCTCTCAAAGTAACTGAAACCAATTTGAAACTCTTACTGAAACAACTCAATGCCCACGCATTCTCCTACCCCTCACCACGTCCCGCCAACGCTCCCATTCCCACATCTCTTGTCCTGATATGTCACATTTGCGTCTCATTTCGTTATGAGTGTGTGTGTGTGTGTGTGTGTGTATGTATGTGTGTGTGTGTGTGTGTGTGTGTGTGCGTGTGTGTGCGTGTGTGTGTGTGTTGTGTGTTTCAGTGCTGTTTGAAAAATGCTAGTAATGTTACCATACGTATATTTAGGAGAGAACCCATTTAATCTGAGCTGTGAAATTCAATTTTCTAATCATTAGAATTTTTGCTCACAAAATTCTTCGACACTTCCAGTTTATTAGTTCGTGACATTTGACCTTTATGCATTTTGTATTTGTTTTACTTATGCTAACATGAAACTGAATTTTCAGAAGTAAATTACTTACTATTTTAAAAAACTAATTTCATAACCAATCTATTTTAGTTACTTACAAAGCAGACAATTCATTAGCAAAATAATGTACTGCTTATGTGTTACCAAGATAAATTGCAAAATTGTATGGGCCTTTTTTCAAATCGCGTTATACTTATGTTTTTACCTATATTTGTAATGCGTGAACTAACTTGTAGTAAATGGACAGCAATATTTTTTGTAATAAATTACAAAGAGTGTTTTTCAAAATTTAAAGTGCTGCTATTCATCGTTACAAGCATCATTATACAGTATATTGTATAATGATACTTAATACTTTCTATATTGAGAAATCGATTACCATTTGAATCTTTTTGTGTAAGAATATTTATTATGCAATGATGGCTTTCATAATAAAACAACGAGAAATTTGTATTTATGCAAATATTTCATTTTAACGACTTTCAAATATTGTTTAAAAATTTGTCTGTGCTAGCAATTTTAGTTATATGCGATCATTTTATACACTGTTGTGAACATTATGGAACGATCAGTAAGAAATATAAAGCAAATATTACGCGAAAATGTTGCTTACTTTTTAGAGCATGCTGATGGACGTGAAGTGATCGTTAACGTAACCGCACGACTTGTTAAGAAACGTCATTTTTTCCCTATTATAAATGACTCAATAATATATCTTAGTAAGATGGAAAAAGTGAAACAAAATCGATATTTTATCTTTTAATTCATATTACTCAAACAGCATTGTGTTCCCATATTGTTTGTTTTGTAAATATCATTGAAAAGAATTGAATTATTACTTCATTCGATACGATCGATGATGCATTATTTATGATTGAAATTCATTAATGTTCTTAGTTCTTGATAGTTTGCTATCCTTGATCCTGTTCTTTAATGCCCTGGTAAAATTCTTCACTAGGTTAATCAGTGTTCCTGATAGTTTCTGGCAATGCTGACGTATATTCTAGTGATGTTGAATTTATTCAAAAATCAAATTTGGATTGAAACATTACATAGTCTAATATTTCCCTAAATTTCAGAAAATGAAGAACAAAAAAGAGTTGAGAAGGTTAGCATTAACCTGATTATTTGTTTAGAAATTTTGTCTGTTAAAAATCGTAATTTTGTTTTAAGCGAAATCAAACTGAATGTTCAATACCATCCTAAAATTAACTAATGTCGAATTTCTTTTTATTTTTCAAACTGTACTTCATTGTTAAATTTCATTAAATTTAACAATCTACAGGATATAGAAGTTAAACATTCAAAGCGAAATTTTGCGAAACATACGGACAACACGTTATCGCAAGTTAGCAAAATAACCACCGCCTGTAGCTGGGATAACAATTCCGTTATTGTGAGTATATTATTTATGACTACAAAAGAAATGAAAATGAGTTCTAGAAGTTTTAATAAGATATAAAAGTCAAATTGGATCTTTTAATTTAAAATCGAGTGAATTTAATTTTATTTTTCATTCGTTTTATTCTTTTCTTTAGAATTATCATATTCAAAGTTCCATCATTCGAAAGATTTTTGGCTACAAGTAATGAACGATGTAGAATTTATTGCATTATGATATGATATTATCACTCATCTAATTGCTGATATGATTTTCAGGACTGGTATGGTAAAGGAAAAGACAGATATCACTATAGTAAAGAATAGATTCTTAAAATTTATTTATCAAAAATAGCAAATAAAAAAGAAAATGAGGAACAAACAAAAATTTGATCCAAAATATTAGAAAATAAAGTTTATTAATTCAAAGTGTTACTTTCTCAAAATAATACCAATGTAAATATTCTAACATTTTTTTGTCACAAATATTTAATTCGAACATTTAATGTCATCATCAGATCAGCAATAGCTGAATCCTTCACAATCACAATTACAAGCATTCTTCGATAACTTGCAGCCAAAGCCTGAGAAAAATCCAATATTAGTTATGGATAACCTCAAATCTATAGTATTAGCTACAGATGAAATCTCATATGGTACTGTTGAATTTTATCGCATTAAATGCGCCAGCGCAATCAATTAAGAATGTTGTAATGTATGGAACTTTATCAATTTTATTATTACAAAACAAATCATTCAAAAAAACAAGAACGACAAAAATTTTTTCATCCATCATAACATCATAATATCCATTAGAATACGGAAACGTTTTAGATCCAAAATTATACATTTCATGAAAATTAAGACTTGAATTGAATTTTGATGCCATCAAAATATTAAGCCTCAAGGTCGTACTTTAATTAAAATATCTTCAAATAATATTCATAAAACTAAAAAATCATTCTTTTTTAATTTCTTTAACGATTAGATTATCAATACATCATCTATGCATGACGCTATTACATAACTGATCTGATCAATCGGTAATTACTGCATCATGTCGAGAAATAGTGAGTCTACGAGCTTTTGCCTTTGCAGTATCTAGCCATATCAAAAACGACAAGGTATTTGTTGTATTTTAACTTATTATCGATTAATAAACAGTTTACCAAAATGTAAATTTTAAAAAATTTTAATTCATTAAAAGTTGATATTTAATTCTTTTCTTTTCTAAACTTATTTTTGTCAGAAAAGGACACATTGCGATGGCTTATCATTGAAGCATTAATGGTTTTGATATAATAATATTTATAAAATTTCACTTACTGCATGTTATCGTTTCAAAACTGAACAATATTTGCATAAAAGTTTTTTATTTAAAACTTACTCTTTTCATTTAAAAAATCTATTTACGACAGTTTTAATAAATTGCATCGAAATGATGGAAATATATACATGCATGCATAGCTCACAGTAAGATGAAAAAATTGAAAATAAAATATTAGAAATAAGTTTTGAATTTGAATAAATGAATGTGAAGAGTTATTTCATAATATTATAAATGAAAATTGAACGTTATCTAAAATTCTTTAGGATTATTATCCATTTTGAACAAAAAAATTTTGAATCAATTTTAAAGTTTCAAAATTAATCTTCTCAAATTTATTGAGAAAATAAGCTTTAATTCATTTTGTCTGTATCTGATACGCACAAAATGATTCATTTCAAAAAATTTTTTTCGTTTTACAAATTAAGCTAAATAATTAAATATTTTAATTTTATTTTAAATAAATTTATATGACAAATAATGTATGACATTAGCATATTATCATTTTCAAAATTTTCTACAAAAAATTCAGCGATAGCATTTTCATTGATAATAATTAATGATAGTTTGAGGGGGAGGAAGATAGGATGGAATTTATGTTCGACGACCGGCGATATATTCTTTAAGGATATATTCGAATAATTCCATACAATTACCATTAAATTTTACATTTGGTAATTTGGTAATATTATTTGCATGACAAATTCTCAAAAATATCCTTTTTGCAACATAAATGCAATATGGACAGTCATCATCGAAGCAATGAATATTACATCGTTTTCTGGAACATGAATTAGCATGAAGCGCATCTTCTAGAAAGCATTGCTCTAAACAACTTCCAACCTTCGAACATATCATTTCTGAAAAATAGAGATAATTTGAACTTAATTACTAAATGTAATTTCATTAATGCAATAAATTGTAATAAAAATTACAACAAGTAATTAAATTTAAATTTCATTCTATCAATTAAAATTTTAATTTTATAAAAAATAAACAATGAAAAAAAATTTTTTACCTGTTGTTTACACTTCTCTTCTCATCTTTTTTTCTATACCGTTTATTAAAAAATCAAATATTTTCTTGCTAAATTATTTCTTCTCACTATTTTCGTATCAATAAAAAAATTTTCCTGATCTTTATACTTCTGTAATATCGTATGTTTTCCGGTTTCTTTTTTACGATTTTACGATACAAAAAATAGATCATAATTGGGTTTAGGTTGAATTTAGCAGCTCATATTTCTTTTTCTTTTAAATTAACTTAATTATTTATAAACTTTTTCTTAAAATAAAAAATTGACAAAATACTGGCCATTGTTGTTTATGTAAATAGAATTTGATGAGAAATGCTAAATAACTTAGACATATTTCTGTTTGAAAATGAATTATTGATGTAATTAATTTTTTTTCAAATACAAAAATTAATAGTAAAATAATTTGAAATAAGACACTCGTGTGATAATAACACAAGCATTAATGTGATAATGATAATTTGACATGAGGTGTTTGTGTAATAATAACACAAGCATTAATCGAATGTGATAATGATAATTTGACATGAGGTGTTTGTGTGCTAATAACACAAACATTAATAGAATGTGATAATGATAATTTGACATGAGGTATTTGTGTGATAATAACACAAACATTAATAGAATGTGATAATGTGTTGGAAAATAAAATTAAATAATTGCTAAGTAATTAGATAATTAACAAGAGAAAAAAATCAGCAAATATTGTGAAGTTATAGTATCGATATTACTGTTTTTTTTTTCAAAATTAAGAAATAAATGATAAATTATTATCAGTTAAATAATAACGACTGATTAGAAATATTCAGCTTGATTATCTTTTATCTGTTAAATTAATTGTTAGATACTAAAATATCACCTTTTTTATCATCCGTGCCAGATTTCAATAGTTCTTCTAACACATGATTGCATTGCTCGCATTCACTGCATGCTTCACGACATTTTGTCATAATGCAAATAAAACTAAACTGATCAACCATAGCGGAAAACATTCCAACTGCGCTCATTGTTTGCAATGCTGTTTCAGTTTTTTCTAAAATTTATAAATAATATAAGAAAATGTGATATTTTTTTTTAACTATAGAAATGCATTATTTTCTTCCATTCATGGCTATTTGCATTTATGGAATAAATAATGAAAAGTTATGCTAAGTCTATTTTACCTATACTTAATTCACTCAGTTGAATAATGAAAAGTTATGCTAAGTCTATTTTACCTATACTTAATTCACTCAGTTGAATAATGAAAAGTTATGCTAAGTCTATTTTACCTATACTTAATTCACTCAGTTGAATAATGAAAAGTTATGCCAAGTTTATTTTACCTATACTTAATTCACTCATTTAACAATTAAATTTGTTTTTAACTTTATAAATTGTCTTCAATCATTTTTGTTTTTTTAATTCTCAATTATTTCAATAATTAACTTAAGAATTCTTTCTTTTCATTCAAAAATAACCTCTAGAGAAGCATTTTTTAATAGTACAACGCGTAAGTTTTCCACAGGAACCGGTGTCAGCTATCGATAAATGTATAACGTCCCATAGCACAATCGAAAACAGTAATTTTAACAGACCTAAAATATTCATTGTTTTATATTCGTAAAAGCGAATATTAATTAAAAATTATTAGTTACAATTTCTTATATAACTAAATTCCAATTTAATTAACAAATTAAATATTTATTTTTTGATTTTGTTTTCAATATTTGTAGCAAAATTACCGAACATATTTAGAGGCAAATCGTTTTGGATCTTTCGTTACCTCTACAACCTTATTACTGGTAGGTAAGTACCTGAAAGATTATTAAGTTTAACTCTGTTTAAATACATACCTTAAATTTTAATACTTCCTAAAAAAATTGCTGAAAGATTAATGCGAAGAGAATTCCTTTGATGAAAATTACTTCCTACATTTAATTTTAATTTGTACAAATTCTTTATCAACCATAAATTATCACACTTTTATGTTCATATTTCTATTTTTTTTCGCCGACTAATTTCTAACTTAAAAATTGTAATAATTTCGTTGCATATAATAGTTTAAGTTCGATAAATTTGTTTTCTTTCATATCATAAATAATCAAAATTGATAATTTAAATAATTGAAATTGTATTTCTTTTTCAAATCAAAAGAAAAAGTATGAAATTTTGATATAACATTATCACAATTAAACAAAGTTGATAGTAATTAATTAATTAAAACTTATATAATAAATTAATATTACTATAAAAGAAAGAAGAAAATTAAATTTTTAAAAATTATATGACTAATAGAATGCGAATAGAATAATTTTAAAATAGTCGAAATTTTCACTTACAAAAATAGCGATCTTTCTAAAAAAAATTTGCACTTTTTAAAAGATTAATGAAAGTTGTGAGATCAAATTGATTTCATCGCATATAATCTTTTAGAAATAGGCGTTTTTCGGACAATTGCGCTTTGAAAATAAAGAAATTTAATTTTGATTTCAATATTCATATAGTTTTTGTTTTTTGTTTAATTCGTAATGAAGTAAAAGTATCGAGCAATTTTTGCTATTAAAAGTTTTAAATAAATGACGGCATTCTTTATGATCTATTTTCAAGAGGAAGATAATTTCAAGGTGTGCACGGATAAAAGTGCAATTGATCTGAACAAAAAAAGTAAGGAATCATTTGGTAGGAAGTTAATTTTTAGTTGGGTTCAGCAATGCGACACCTACCAATAAATGACACCAAATTCATCATTTCTTTTTTTTCAATGAATTAAAACAAATTCATCAATTAAAATGAAAGTAACAGAAAAGAATTTGAAAGCGAAGAAAAAGAGACAGTTATAGTTTTAAAAAATACTACATTGAAATGGATGAAATGATGAAAATAATATCAATAGAAATATTTTCTTAATTTCTTTGCAAATAATTAATAAAATAAAAATGTTTAAAAATACTGATAATATTTGTTGTTATTTGTAATGTTAATAATGATGATATTGATAATTGTTAGCAATGATAGAAATTAACATAATTATTTTATAATAGTAATAATAATGATAATTGCTGTTCAGAAAAAGTAAACGAGAAAGAAATACTGATAATATTTGTTGTTATTTATAATGTTGTAAATGATAATATTGATAATGTTAGCAATGGTAGAAATTAACATAATTATTTGATAATAGTAATAATAATGATGATTAAAACTGTTCAGAAAAAGTAAACGAGAAAGACGATAGGAAGGAAGACATGTTCTGTTGGTAATTTAAAAAGAGAGTAATTGGTATGATAGCTTTAAAATGTTTGTTAGTTTCAACCTCGAAATTTAAAACATGATTTTTGAGCGAACGATTCAACATCTTACTCAATCGTACTTTTATAGCGTAAAAATCTTACAGCACAAAAAGAACTTCATGTACTTTCTCTTTCACATTCATTTTTGGTTTGATTCAAAATTTATTCAACGAATTATCACGGAAACTAAAATTTTACAAAAGTACAAAAACAATTTTTAAAAAGATTGATTATATTAATTCGTTTTTTTGCAATTCATATTAACAAAAATTGTTGAAAAAAAAATTTTTTTTAATTTCTACACTTTCTATTATCCTACCATTTTCTACAAATATTCTTCACTTTATAGTTTTAAAAATTATATTTAAATTTTCATAATAGCTTACAGTTTACTATAATAAACTTTTATCATAATAATTTGTTAATTATATCTTTCATATTTTTTTTAGATACATTTTTATAAATATATTCTTTATAACTGATTACAATATTCATTATAATTTATTTAAATAATAAAAATTTTGTGGAGAAAAAATTGCAATGAATAAAACATTGAATGCTAAAATGACCAAGAGGATACGATGATAGGGTTTCATATCCCGGAAAAAATCGATGCAATTGAGGAAAACCGGTCTTTTTCTCTCGTTGTTATTTTGACTATTTTTTTCCCTAAATAAGCGGTATTGTCCATTCATTTTAACTTGCTCCATTATTTTTAAATCATCGCAAATATTTCATATAATTTACTTTCATGAAGAATTGCATTTCACATTTTATGCCAATTTGATTAACATTTTTGTTTGAGACTTTTATAGTTATCAAATTTTACTATCAAATCATAAATGATAACTGAAAGATTAAGAGATTGATCCCCTTAAATTTACTTCAAGCGGAATTATCATTTAACACTTACATTTAAGTAAGCTATTAATTGAAATTTTTTGATTCTTTTAAATCGAATGAGTAATTAATGAAAAGCATTGATACTTAGAGCACAATGTTCATTTACGATAAACTAATAATATATGGTAACCAAATTGCGAATGAAATGCGATCATATTTTTTGAATGTTTTTCAATTTCGCATCCAAAACTATTTTATACGAATTATTTCTTATTAATGCTTTATTCTATCTAAAATCTGAAACGGTTTTAAATTTCAGAAATTAAATTAAAATAATAAATTGAATTCTTTTTTTTTTTCATTATCTTAGGGAATTTCAATTGAAATTAAAATTTTTACAAAGAAAAAGATATTCTGCAAATTGCAATCAATAATAGCTGGCAATAATGCATTCCTTTCATTATTATTACACTTTCATTGTGCATAAATTACTCAAACAGGAAATTTGAAAATAATCATAAATAGCAATAAAATAAATGCTTGAGGTGATCAAAGACATATGAAAACAATAAGAAATCAGATGTCGTATCGATAAGCTTTGGTTACTAATAATAGTCAAATTAACCGTAATCTTACAAATTTGAAAAATTAGATAAATTATAAAATAGTATGAAAAAAGTGCAACTTTGATCTAAAACTTTTTCCCTTTATGTTATTTCGATATTTTCTGAATTTATATTTAGAGAAAAAAAGGAAACAAAAAATCAATTAGATAATTAATTATGAAATCAATTTCTAAATCTTCTTGATTTATTCCCATTTCATGATAAGGAATAATTCATAATTATTGATAAGCAGCACTACATTCAAATATTATCACAGCAAAAAAATTATGATTGATCAAATTAACAAAATATGAAGAAGGAAGAATAAAAATTTAATTTTGAAGATTATATATATCATATCAGAGAAAATTTGAATTTTGTCGTAATTCTAAATTTCATTGGCATTTAATTTTAATTTGTTGCACTTTCAAATAAAATAAATGAAAGTATTAATTTTAGCTAAATCCAACGATTGTTAACTTTTTTATTACAGCAAATTTTTTATTTCAACTAATAAAAGTTCAAAGAATTGTTTTAAAAGAAACGACAAAAATTAAATAAAAAGAAAGGTCAGTTAAAAAAGTGTTGATTGTATTGAAATTAATTATAAAGCAATCACAGAATAGGAAAGAAGACATTTTGAGCAAATCATAAAAATTTGAACTTTGATAGCGATCGTACTAAGTAATTTCATACCAACTCATTCATTGTTACAATCAAATAAATGATTGAAATTGCTTTAATACTTGTTAAACTTCTTCTACTTATCGATCCTGAAATGAGCGTTTTAAAGTAATTATTCAAAAAATGAAGTACACAAAGATACTTTAATATAATTGTCCCAATACAGTAGTTCAGTAATAATATATTGGTGTTACTGTAATTTAATTTTCTCACATAATAATAATTAACAAATGAGATAACTTTTGTTTCATAAAATATTGAATATGAAAAAAGACAGAAAATGAAATTATCAAAATTTCGTGGAACAAATTTTAGAAATTTAGCTAATATTATCTCTAATCATCTTAACCTATAAATTCTTTCGTATTTCTAATTGAAAATACCGATTTCTTCATCGTAATATTCTACAATGCTAGAAATGGACAGTATTGTATTATTAGTGATTTCAATCCTACTATAAATTAAGTTCATTTGAAATATGATATACGTTCACTGCCATTATCACTTACTGAAGCATTGGAATAACTTATTAATATCATTTAACTTAATGAGTAAGGCTCACAATTAAAAATAGTTTATAGTAAAGCTTAATGTGCCATATCATTTATGCTCTAATAGTATTATGTAAAATATGATGACTTTAGAGTTAAATTGAAACAGATAGAATGAAAATGTTAACATCTCAAAAAAGAGTAAAAATCTTATTCTATGAATTTGATAAAAGAAAAAGTAATGAATGTTTCGAAAATTATGCGATATTTTTTGTAAATCGATTAAGCGTTATTTTATTGAAAAAATATCATTTCGATCTATCGAAATGATAACCTGATAAATTATGAAAGTTACAAAAATAGTTTTTAAAAATTATTTATATCTATCAAAAAAAAGAAGCTAATTAAAATTTTCATTTAATATTAATTGGAATTTATCAAAGTTTGAAATGAAAATGTGATAAGTTATTTTACTATCACTTTATCAATAATTTTTTGTAAAAAAAAATAATCTTTCAGTTTGTTAACTTTGCAAGATTTGAATTGCGAAAGTTATATGAATTGAGTATCAAAAACAATTCATTAAATATTAAATTAATTACCGCCTTTTCGCCTTTGTGCATAAAATTTCTTTGGACCATGTTCAATCCAAATTTTCGAATTTTGATTGCATAAATCACCGTTACATAAGCAGTAATGGCCGTCTAATTGAAAGTGACCACCTCGACCGCGCAATGTGATAGGTCGATCAAAACATCGTACCTCACCATCGAAAAGCCCAACTGAACAGCCTTGTGCCATTGCTACAAAGCATAAAAATTTTTCAAAAGTATTCAATCGAATATAAACTTACGAAAATTTTCATTTTCAAATTAGAAATTAATTTTAATACTGAAATGGAGCATTTATTGATAAGTTATTAAACTTTGCTAACTTTTAGCAACATTTCATATAAATAAGTAATCTGACCATTTCCAATTTGAAGATGAAATTACTGTGAAATTTTCGGACACTTTCATTTTCTTATTTTTCAACAATCTTTTTTTTTTCATTTTCCACATTACGATATAACAGTGAAAACTACTGTCATCAAAGAATAAAATAATGTATTGTCATCTGATGTTTTAGAGATCAAATGATTTCAATTCGAATAAATGATACCAAAAAGCTGTCTTGTTCCATCCATTTTATTTATTCCGCTAATTTGAAAAATATAACATAAACCATTACAAGTTCGATTTTGTGGACTCTCACAAGGATGATCATCAATCAATGTACCAGCATGAGAATTCATTACACGATAATTTACAAATTTATTCCAATGCTGTAATAATATATTTCAATGCTAAAAATGCTTTTAGAAATTAAATAATATATGAATTCAATGTTTAATTTTAAAAGATAAATTTTCAAAAATAATTTTTAAAAATTGTATTAAAATTTTACAGTAACAGCATGTTTTGTAGCACATGACATGCAATTAATGGAAGCAGAAATAAGTGTTGAAAATGATGATAATAGGATAAGAGAAATTAATGTCAATATTGTTGCATTCATTCCCGTCAAACTAAATGCTGAAATAGAAAATCATCTTTTCTACAATGATGTATATTTTTAATTATCGCTCATTATCGTATGCGTGTAATTTCACGTAATTCTTTAAATATGAAATCAAAAAGAATTCTGAAATTAGAATGCATTTTAATTACTCCTTTAAACGAAGAATCAAAAATGCTTAAATTAGAAAATCCAATAAAATAAGACAAAGAATTTCTTCAGTAAATGAAGAATTATAACTATATTTAATTAAACAAAAAATTACTGCAAAGTTAAATAATATAAAATTTGAAAATCTATTTTAAAGAAGGTGTAAAATTTTCGTTAATTGCATTAATAATTTATTTGATTAACTGCTTCGTAAGTTGAAAATTTGGAATAAAGTAACAAGTTTATCGGTAGTTTGATACAAATTAACCTGTTATAAGAAAGCACGCAAGATTTACTAAAATATTTTAAACATCACCAGAAATGATATTGCTTTTTATTACTACGCAATTACATTCTAATGCTTATATAACGAATTTATTTAGTTTTAAACTTTCGGTTAATTAGCTATTAGAAGGAATTTCTCAACAAAAATAAATTAGATATATAAGAATTTTTCAAAACTAATCTTCAAAAATATTATTATTGTTTGGATAGGAAAATTTAAATTAAACCTAATAGTTTAATTCAAGCTGCAAAGTATATAATAAGAAATCACTTCAAACTATAATTATTGCGAATTGAATACTTGCTGACAGTAATAGAATTAAACCTTCCACTTCTGATTTAGAAGTTTTTTAATCTTTAACTTTGATTATCAGAATAATCAGCTTTTCATGTTGATAACGTATCCAAACATATATGATCTTGGGACAGACCCGCGATTTGTCGAGTTATTCTATTTGAATGCACTATCTGTCCCATTTGTCAACATTTCCATTATATTCGCTATCGATAAACAATAGTGCTTAAATTCGAACTTTGGAATTATATCCTATCAAGTTTTCAAAAGTATGAAAATTTTATAATTTGCAAAAATCGTTTGAAGAAAAATGAAAATGAAAAAATTATAAAACATTTGTAGAAGATGTACGGCAAAATAAATGTTTCATTTTAAATGTGTTATTAACTAAGATTAATTTTAGAAATTAAAATAAAAAATATTAGCCATAACGAAGAATGAAAAGATAAAAGATGGAATTGAAAAACAAAAAGATAATATCAAGAAAATTATTATATATATTTCGATTGGACATATATTTTGAAAGAAGGTCCATTTTGATCATTTAAATTTTAAAATTCTCCAAAACAGTATAAAAGTTTTAAATAAAATTAACGGCATCATATCGATCTTTTCAAACATAACAACAGAAGTGATGGAAAAAAACATGAAAATGATGCGGTTAATGTATTCATCGAAATGTCCGGCGATAAGCAGGGATCGTCATCAAAAAGATCCACGGCGCTGATAATAACCGTGAGCCGAGCTGATGGGAAGAGTCAGTTAGATCTGCGCATCTATCGGGTTTTTTCGGGACGTACTGGTTGTATTACCTTAACATTTGCTTTTTGCAATAATTTTTATTTCTATTAAATTATATAAAGTGACGTCAGTTTTTTGCATTTCTATCAAAACTTCATTTTTCATTTCTTGTTAAGGGTCACGGATTAATAAGAAATGCTTCCTGTGTTGCCTAATTTTGATCAGCCTCATAAGTTTTTCTCAGTAAGAAGCCATGAAAAAAATGACTCATTTCATAATTTAGGTATGATATTGGCTATTCTATTGAATGCCTCAATTCGGAAAGCACAAATTTCACAGAGTTACTCATATTATACATTGCTGCAATATGTGCATCATTGATAAAAGATGATAAATAGGATAGACCTATCTTATGAAAAGATAAAAATCTAGCAAATCATTCATGACGGCTTTATTCGGCTTTTTTACAGATAACCTTCTGACATTTTGAATACACTTTAATATTTAATAGGATGGATTTATCATGTAGTGATAAGAAAAAAGGCTAAAACATTTTGCTACATGATTGAAAGAAATCGAGCACTAATTAGCTTGGAGATATATTGCCGATTCTATGACAAAAAGGCAGACATACATGAACTATGAAAGAAGCTAAACTTTGATATTCACCATATTTAGTACTAATCAAACATAACGGTTACTATTTTGATTGAATCCTTCACAGAATAAACATCACGTCATCTGAAGAGATTCACGAAGAAAACGTCATTTTATTTTAAGAGAAATTTCATGGCATTAAATATTGAATTATTTGAAAGATTAACATAAATTTATTTGAAGTATTTTCACATTGTACTGCTGATTGACCGTAACAACAAAATATGTAGTTATTTATACCAGCCTGGCAATAGCAGCCAATAGACAAGCTCATCATACATTCTTTACTACTCCTCGAGAACTCTCCCGTTCTCCAGACGAGTTCAAGAACGAGACATGAACTGTTTCACAGAGGGACATATTCTGTCGTAGAAAATGTGTTCGGTAGCCGTTTAAAATTCCTAAGACGGAAGAGCAGAGTGGAGATTACATGAAAGACGTGCTGCGAAGGGGTCGGAAGTATAAAGGGGTGATAGGTCGGTTATACTCATGCTGATAAAGCTTAATGCTGTGAGAGTTCAAATGATTTTAAGAAATGAATGATTTTCTGGTGTTGATGTATATTTTTGAGGTAAGAGAATAGAGCGACTGATACGTAATCAAGGAGATTGATAAGGTTTGCGGATTATCACTGAGAGAGGAGTTAGTGGACGGTTTCAGGATTATCGAATACTTATATGGGTTTTATGCTTTTTTAACGAAGTTATTACCGTTATTTACTTCAAAGTAAGATAGGTTGAGTGCTCAGTAATAATTCCAACAGGAAATGTATGAGATCGTCAATTATCATTTATATCAGTTATCACTGAATTCTCATTTCGTATTTTCAGTTTATGCTATGCATCGCAGTTGAACGATGTTGTTGGTACATGCTGCTCGAAGAGTTTTGCGACCGATAGGAAAACTTGCTTCCCTGCGTCATACATCTTTAATATTGCCATCTAATGGTACCTTTAGAACAAAATGGTTGTCGGGAAAGGTTAGTGTTTCTGTAAGACTCAGTTGATATTCGAATTTTTGTGCAAATGTCTGCAAACAGTTCTGAAGCATGGCTGTTCCTTTCAGGATGCAGAGGGTCCAGAAGTGGCCGTTGGTGTGAGAAGTGGAGCAGATGATGATCCGATCACAAATACGAGCGATAAACCATATCTTGGTGAACCGGGTGATCCACCAGTACAGATGTATAGAATTGTACAAAATTTAGTAAAAAAACTTCAGAACTTTTTTTATAATTTCTTAATTTTGCTATGAATTATCAAAATTATTTTAGCAGAGTCATCATTTTTATTAAGAAAACTGGTAGATTGCGGCCATTGTATACATATTAATTTCTCAATGCCTATCACACTATGTTATATATTGACTTTTAATTGTTTATTAACTTCATTGCAGGTTTTATTATCGAGAAGCACCACCTCAAAATACTATGCGATTGGAAAGATTTATGCTCACTTTAACAAGTTCATTAATGTGGGGCTGGTTTGTATATCATTTGTATTACAACTACGGCGAACTAATCGTTAGTTTCTTTTTTTCTTTTTTGTCTAAGTTTCATATCATGAATTATTTTGGGCCGTCATCGATGCTTTTAAACAATGCTTCCTGAGAAAAATTAGTTCAGACTGGTCAAAGGGAGTTCAGTTTTATTTTTAATTTATTTTTCATTGTTCTTCTGAACTTGAAGACAAGTTCTAATGCCTTCTTATCTATTTTTCAATAAAATAGAAAAATAGTATGGCAAATCTTTTATATATTAAGTTTATTTTAGCAGTAAGGAATGGTGATGGAATTAATAAATGAAGTTCGAAATGTTTGGGATGTATGATTTCTGAGCTTACTGAAAACAATTTTTAAACCTCTTAATTTTAATTCTCATTAAAGTTAAACCTCATTAAAAGCATATATGTTATAGGGTGAATATTACATTCCTGCTCCAGAGGAATTTTCGGATGAAGAACTTGGAATCCCACCAGATGATGCGCCGGACCCGGAATACTGGGGTGATCATCCATTGTCTAGAGGCATGTAGTCGATATCATGTTTGTAAAAAGTACTTTTGTGTTCGTTTTGTTCGTAATTAAGATTCTCTTGGCAGCTTTTAAAACATAGCTGTTTCGATTGCTTTCATTACCGTACATAGTTTCTATTCAGTAAAATTGTATTATTATTTTATGTTATATTTTTAAACAATAGGAACTGTATTGCCTAATTGTTCACTGGCGTCTTGTAGGTTTCTAGAAATTAAATGTGATATTTTTGCCTATTCGACTGAAATAGTAGTTTTATTGTTTATCAGATTAAGAATTTTGTTATACGTAAGATCTTATTGGTTCAAATTTTGATATAATATTAATTCTAATTACTATTAAATGATTTTTCATGATGGTCAATATAACCAAGTGATTTTGTACAGGTTTTCTATTTGAGTCAACTTCTGAATTAACGGGCAGAATTTGGAAGCACCTGATAAGCTGATTAGCTTGGAGTCGATTACCGTTACATTTTTTGATGTGCGTTTGATATAGGGATAAGATATCACGACTCTTTCGCTAGCTGCTTTTGTAACACTTCTTTCAATCATTTTTCATACAAATAAGTTACACATAAAAATTTGATTTCAAAATGGCAATTAGAGAAATCCTACGCATCAATTATAAGTCGCGACCTCATTTTCGTGAATGTTCATGACTGCGGATAGTAGTGGATTTTGGTTCTACAAATTTTTATTATCAGTGCTTGTTTGTTGAACCTTTCGTTTACTGCCATTGCATCTGCGATCCAAATAGGATATGGAACCATGCAGTTGAAAGTGATTTTCTTCCCTTATTGCTTTATAATGGCTAATAAAGTGTTCACAAATTGGATATTGATACCTGACTTAAAAAATTACATTGGGTGTTTCTTTTTTCCCGCTTCCCAACTGTGCAACAGTACTCTAATTTTATACAAACAATCAAAGAATGAATATGAATCCAGCAAGTAAACATAGGCTGTAAATCATTCTTTTCACTGAAATCAATCGATGACAATTTTTGGTGTTAATCCCTCTTGTTCTTATGTATTTCTTCCCTATTATGTATTGTAAGCAGACATTTACGATCCGCGTTCCAGACTGTCAAACTTATATTTAGCTCAGAATTCAACTTCACCCCATTCAGAAATATTAAAGAGTTTAGAGTTTTAAATTTCGAATATCTTCTTGAAAGAATGCTAACCTGTTAAGTGGTTTAGATAATAGATATCTGAGTTATAAACGCTAAAATAAATAATATAGTTAAAAAATGTATGTCAGATCTTTGGCATTATAAATCATGAATTGATGACATAAAGTAGGTATTTCAGTGCTCAATAAAGGGCAAGATCACAATCATTTAGAAGCTGGTCACAATAGATGCAGTGTATTGCATTCTAGATTTTCATTATAGTTGTTTATTTAATGCATAATTTATTGCTTTCATTGTTTTTTCCCAATGTTGTTTTCCGGTATGATATATTAATCGTATTGAATTGTTACAAAATTTAATGACGTTTATTTTATTCCTCTCAGATTATTACTGATATTCGGAACTTCCCTTACAGCACAATAAATCCCATTTGCTCTATCATTTGTAGCACTTTGAATATTCAGTAACAGATCAAGTCATCATTCATTAGTCAATTAAATCATGTTGCTTATTTTCCAAAAGCAATTTAACATTTTATAGTTTTCAATTTCTCTCCTCGTCCTGATAATTACTTTTTTTTGAGTTCAAACAATCATTGTTTACCTAAGGAAATCATAATTCTGTATAACTTTGTTAAACTGAACGTTCCATAAGTTTCAAATTTAAAGTTATTTCAGCACAAAAGTAATTAATACTTTGCAGTTATTGGCAATGGGTCGTTTATGCTACTATTTTTTATTAATTTCAATATCATTTCTGTCTCAGTTCTTACTTTTCTCAACGGAAATATGTCAATATCTGATTATATTATCGAATATATCAATATTTGACCTTTATATCATTTATGCAAATTTCAGACTTAAACACTCATTTCTATACAAATGAAGCGATAAATCTCCAAATGTTAACTTCTATTTTAACTGTTTATACCACTACAATAAAAACCTAAATGAATTTTAAGCTAACAAATAAAAGAAATAGTTAAATTTCAAAAAATGTATACATTGTTGAATAAGTTTGATCAAATGATAAGGTATGCTTTTTTCTATATTTTAATGACTAAAATTTAATGTTTAATTATCGCAATTAGATGTGCTTCGTTATCAGAATGATAGTAATTAGTTCGTTTTCAGCGATTAACACTTTAAATTCCCAATTACAATTCTGAAATCCCTTCCTTGGTGAGGTAAGAAACAATTAACGATAGGATGATAGATGAATAACTGGAATAGTAATACATCAATGATTTATTTGATTAAATGACGAAATACATCAACCTTCTCACCTTCGAAATCAAGATTTTATAATTTTTGCGAGCTATTCCAACTATTTCATTTTCTTTTATTATTAATAATGAAATAAGGAATATGTAAATATAGATATTTTAAAAGATTTTAGATTCCTCTACCTCAATGGGAAACTAATTTGAGGGATATCATCTGTTACATACCATCCATAATTTGTGAATAATACAGTATTTAAAAATTATTTTTAAATATATATGGCAGCTGGTTTTACTGTTACGAAGAGAGGTTCAATTTTCAATTTTCGTAATCTGATAAGTCTATGGACAGAAAGAAAAATATTTATCATTCACTCATGTATATCCCTTATCCCTTATTTCGTTCCTATTTGCTCGTACATACAATAAATTGCACTTCTACAAAGAAGGAAAAAGGAAAGCGAATTAATAGATGTATTGCGGTATCATACCACAAGGTCATTCATTCATCCTATGTTACCACTTTTCGCTGATCTATTTCTTTCTTAATACGCTAACTGGAAGATTTATTCATTCTTCGTCATCTTAATTATCTGTTCCTTTTTTTCGACAATAATAATAATAATATGATAAGAATGCAACATTTCATATGCAGAAAAGATTAGATGTAAGTAAGTGATCATCGCTATTCATCAATGAAAGATGGATCATTTGTATGAAAATCAATTGATCAATTTTTTTTGAGCTTTTTTTTTCATTTTAAATTATAGCAACAATTTTTTCATTCTTATTCATATCACCGCCTTTTGTGAAGAAGAAGTAGAAGAGAAGTTGACAGTATTATCCATTCACTTTTCGAAAATTCACTTAATGCTGCAAGACATAATTATATGAGTAATTATATACAATTGTTACACCATTGCCGTATTAAAAATTTTATTATATCATTGTCAATATTTTCCTTACGACGATGTTGAATTTACGATGATATTAGTTCATATGAGAAGTTATTATTATTGTTTTCAAACAATTTTCCCATTTTCTACAATCAATGAAAATAACAAAAATTTGATAGATTGTGATGAAGAACTTTTGACAGAAAATAGCATTTTTTCCTGCTTTTTTATAATATTTACAATATTCCAATTTTGGTAAACTAAACTTCATCGTTATCAATGGTAACAACTAATCAAATAGAGAAAGATTATCAAACATACATACATACATATATATGTATGTCAAATTTTATCACTTTATTAGAATGTCAGTAAGATCCTCTTTCATCTACCCTCGTTCAACTTTGACATTTAGTGGTGTGTGATACGAGATAGAGATAATATTCCTTTAAGTATTTATTAGGATTATCACTTCCTTAGCTTCTATAAAATTATCACTTCCTTAGCTTCTATTCTATATAATAGTTTGAATGCTTACATTTAATCTTTGTCTTAACTAGAAGTTAATAGCCAACAACATGATATGATTATTATTTAAATTTCACGAATAATCAAAACAAAATCATATCTTACCAACATTAATTTCAGCTATGCGCATTTATTTATTGCCAAGATCGTATTGATGATGACTGCATTGAGTGAGGTAAATGTGCTCGAATGCCGGAATATCTCGAATGTTCGTACAATTACACCATCTAAATGGTATAATATTATCTTTAAAGAAATAATTATGGATAGAATGCACAGAAATTAACAAATAATATCACATTGAGAGTGAGAAAAGCAAAAAAGTATTGAGTGTTGATCACCTTCGGTTAAATTCTCCTATCGGATACGGCAAAAACTTTTGAGAAAAGTCCTCTGAGAAAAAATGCTAAAAAGATATGTAATTGATTTTTTTGGATCAGGAATTTCAAAAGATTAAAGCAAGATAACTCATTTGGTTTGCAAATCATTTTCTTAAATTCAGAAAAGACCTTTGTGACCTTTGTTATTCCTAAAATGAAATCTTCCGTCAATAATGTGTGATCGGTACGGATTTTTTGAACAAGAAGCTTGAAATAATTTTACAGGTACAACCGTACTTCATCGAAGGTTACGGCGCAATTTCTCAAAAAAATTTCTATAATAGTTCAATCTGGTGAAATACACGGTATTATTGGAAATGCCGGTATGCTTTATTTATTTTGATAGTATTATTTTTAAAAGACAACATTTATTTTTTATCTAAAAATTCAAAATTCTTGAATTAAATCGAAGGATCGGAAAACTTTAGATTTTTCGACTGATAGAAACATTAAAAAAAGACAAGAATAAATTAAAAGAAAAGAAATTACTTTCTCATAATAGTTGTCAATAAATTATAACATTTTTCCTGGCTTAATCATCGCGAATTTCCTACAAATGATGATTATGGTACATTTCAAAGTATACAGTTATTGATTATTTATAAAGTGAGATATGCATGATCGATAAGATTATCATTTGAAGATATTAAATAAAGTGGGAAAAAAGTCTTAAGAAATTTCGTAAAAAGAATAATCAGATTGGAAAAAGAATAGAAAAGGAATAAAAATTCATTAACTGACAAATTTTAATAATAAATTTTTTATAAAATGATTTAGTGATAAGAAGATGATTAACTTTTTTCATCGATTAAAAGTAAGCGCTTATAGGTAGCGGTAAAACGACGTTATTGAGAATAATTGCCGGAAGATATGGTGGAAAATTTACGGGGACAATAACGCTTAATCAACAACAATTTACGCGTAAGTTAACTTTGATTCATTGGAATTGCTTAAATTATAATTTTAAACTCCTAATAATATATGAATGTTGTTTCTATCAATTTAGTTATATATGATAACGATCAGCTAATAATATATAATTAAAGCATTCATTTCTTTGATAAGAAAAAAAATACAACAACTTTTATTATTAGGCCAAATGTTTGATTCGATTTGCGCATTCATAAATTTCAATCAAATGCTAATTAAAACGATAACCATTCGTGCTATGCTCAAATTTCAAGCTGCTATGATAATTTGCGATTTAAATGATCGAGAAATAGAAGAAAAGGTAAAGTTCCTATAAGTGTGAATAATTTAAACGAAATTATATTTCGAAATTTTCCAAGTTATAAAAAGACAAGTGATTTGAACTTTTCAGATAAATTCACTTCTTCAAGAGTTTGATCTTATAGCTTATCATAATGTTCTGATCGGTGATTTAAATGAGGCAGCAAGAAGACGTCTGATATTATGTATGAGTCTGATCAATGATCCAAGTAAGTTACTTCAAATTTCAATTTTTTCTTTTTTCATTTTTTAATTTAAAAAGAATTTCATATTTTTTCAAATTTTCGCAAAATTCTAAACTTGAAAAGTTATTAATTGCCTTAATTTTTGTATAATTATTTTTTATATATTGTTTTAATTTTCTTTATTTGCTCAATTTTACCATTTAATTATTCATTGGTATGATTGTTTAATTTTTTATTTCAATTAAAAATTAAAATTTAGTTTTAATTATTCTGGATGAACCATCAGATGGCATAAGTGCGCTCTGCAACTATCAGCTAATGTATTCATTGAGCTTATATATCAGAAAAATTGGAGCAATGGTTATAGTAGCGACACGTATTCCACGTTCAGATTTTTATCAGTTATTCAATCGCATTACTATTTTATTTTATGGAGAGATCATTTATTCCGGTTTGTGTATATTAATAAATTGCAACGATAATGAAAATTGTTGTAATATGTTGAGAATGTGAAGGAAAATTGATTTTAATATGAAATAGGTTATTGCATTTTACATTTTGCAATTAATGCAATCAACAGTGGTCATTAAAAAAGCCAGTTGAATAAAATATTTTCAACAAAAATTCAAAAGACAATTTAGAGATATGATAATTAGACCGGAAAATAGGAAGGTATAATTAATTCATTTATTAAATTATCAATAATAATTTTATCTTTTAATATAAAATATATCACAAAATTTTCCTTTTGCTTAGAATTACAAATCATTTTTCAGGTACTACCAAAGAATTACCATTGTATTTCTATCAGATGGGTTTTCCATGTCCAATAAACGAAAGTCCTGCAATTTATTATTGTATGATTATTTTGAGCAATTAATTTATTTTCCTCTTATTTATTATCTAATATATCTCTAAAATTCAATTCAGAACTTTGCAGTATCTCTTGCAACAACTGATCGAGAAACAACGAAAAGATATCGGGAAACACAAGAACAAGCTTTAAAGTTAATTGATCTTTTTAAGGTACTATAATTTATTATTCTACTTTCTGATTATAGTTAGAATTTTATGTCTTGTTATTTATTTCCAATAAAATCAGAGTTAACTAAGTTAAATCAATAAATAATTCATGAAAATTATTTTATTACTAATTTGCAGTTGCACCAGTCAACATCACAAATTATTCATCATCCTATCCGATTCACGAAGCCTTTATATTTCGGTGGAAGACCACATTATTGCTATCAATTCTTCATCTTATTTAGGTTTTTCTTTCTAAATTCCATTATTGATAAGTTATCATTCAAAATCATTGTTATCGCTATTACCACCCGTCATCACTAATTACTATTATCATTATCTCACACGTCAATCAATATTCACACAGAAATAAGCATTATCAAATTTAATCACAACGAGTAATTCATTCTGTTAACATAAGACGAAGAATATGTTTATACATTTGAAATTTCAAGCAATTGATTTAAAAAAAAATTAATTTGGCAGCTTAAGTTGATACAGTACAATATCTCTGATGAAATTTCCTCTTCTTAGTACTGTATCTGATAAACCATATCAAATGTTTATCATTTTTTCAATTGTAGACGATCATTTCGAGCACTTAATTCATCAATACGCATTATACTACTACGCATCTTACTATTACCATTACTCACACTACTGATATGTTCTTGTTCTACTTCATTTTTAACTTCGAATAAATGGTGGTCACCACAAGATAGAGCTGCCTTATTGGTCATTTATTCAACTTTATTTTCAATCGTTCCCATTTTTCTAACTATTCTTAATGGTAAGTATAATTGAGAGAATAAATTATAATTATAAAATAAAAATTTTATATTTCTTCGAGTTATTCATTCATATTCGATGATAATTTTTCTCTTAACTATATGGTTATTGTTAATTTATTATACGAAATCGATTGAAATGCAATAATTTGAAATTTTTACAATAACATTTTTCTTCCAAAAATGAAATTTATTCAAAATTTATCATAATTTTTATAGCAAAAACAATAATTTTAGAATGGAAAAAGAGAAATTTAAATCAAAGAATTTTAGAATTAAATTAAAAATATTTAATTTACAGAATTAAATTAAGAATCGATTAGTTTACAGAATCAATAATTGGCTGTCAATCACAACAAGATATGATGACAGATGGTGTATATTCGAGAATTCTTAACGTTCTTTCATTTTTATTTGCATCTGCACCAAATGACCTCTTAGCTTTTTCCACATCAATTTTTATTATTACTTTTTGGTTAGTAAACAATTCAGCAAAAGTTACTTACAATTTTGACTTTAGCAAAATTAACGAGAAATTTTCCTCTCTTTATAAAATTCATTGTTTATAGGCGGAATAGATGAACTGACTTTAGCGCCGCAGAAAAAGATGATAAAATGCTTTAGAGAAGAAATGATTAATAGCATTTGATTTCAATAAGAAAATTAGGTGAGATATCTTAATTGATACTATTTTGAATGATTGAAGACCTTTTGCATCATATCAAACTCTCTTGATAACTCTCAATTACAGGCATTTTTATCCGGTATTCTCTGGGAATTGGAATTATATCTGGAATTTAATGCTACCATTATGGTGTTGCTATCAATATTATCAAATTCTTGTATTAATTGTAATATTTTATACAAAAAATGCCGAATCTACCGTTATATTCTTAATTGAACTCTGTTTCGGATCCGTTGTTTGCGCCGGATCTTATTTCGTGTTTGTTTTCAAAAATTTTAACAAAATTATTTCTTATCCAAGGAAGATGACAATTACAAGATTGGGATGAAATATCAGATAGATAGGATGTGTAAAACAATAGGCTAATTTCAATTCTACTTTGATCTTTTCATTCTATTACTTATATTATTTTAAATTAACTTATCATTTTTTAGTGCACCACGTACATTTTTATCAATAAACGATTGGCGTCATATTTTGATGTACATTAATTTTCATCAATACTTACTTTCATTTATAAATTTCAAATTTATTGATGGAACTAAAGCAGGAGATTGTATTCTTAATGAGACTGAAGAAATTAACAATAAATCAATGGAGCAATTTTGCAGGTAAGAAATATAAATTTTTGTATATCTTATGTGATATGATAATGTCATTTGCATAATTAGTCCTTTTCAGATGGGCCAATGGTACTATGTTTCTAAATGATCACTATCCCGAGATATGGTATTATTCCATGGAAACATTCAATTATTATTTCATCATTATATATGTAATTGTTATTACAACTATTGCCTTACTGCGTTTCAAATTCAATAAATGATAATAATTTGATTGTAATATAATATGCTAATTAACTAATTTAATTTATACTATTTTAAACTTTGCCAATTAAATGATAAGAAAATGATGCTTTCAGGAGTTGATGCGCAAAATTGGAAATTAAGATAGACTACCAATTTAAATAAATTCAAATTTTATATTTTTGAAGTGCTAACTTTTTTGCTAAATATTTCAAATTATTGTGATGCGACGAAAAAAATTTTGCATCTTTTTGAAAGACCGATAAAGAATGATAACTCAATGATGAAATGATTAAATGATACGATTGATATCATTTCTTATCATTATTTTATTATCAAAGTTCATTGCTTTCTAATGACAGATTCATACAAAAAATTATTAATTTCACTCACAGAAACTTTCTCCTTTTTTTTAAGAACATTTCCTATTAAATACAGAAATGAAGAAAAAACTAAAGTAAAAATAGAATTTATAAATAAGCAAACAAAGTTGCAAGAAATACAATTAATGAAAAATTTATTAAAACAAAGAAAAAACACAATTTACAAAAGTGATCCAAAACTATGCTTGCATAGGCTTAATTAAGCTTAATTACTGTATGCAACTTTAATTTATTGAGAATATAGAGATAAAATGGAATATTACTACTGGCCAAATTTAATTTGAGTTCATTAGAGTCCAGCATGAGGCTTAGCCAGTAATAATTTCTTCATAAAACCAAAAAGGCAAATTTTTAATGTAAAGCCGAACAAACTTTAAAACAATGGCAGTATTTTATTTGCTTTCGATTTCTCTTAAATAATCATTCGATTTTGTTGCAATATCTAATATGATAAGAAATGAAATTAATTATTTTTGTTTTTCATTTATTCATTTATAGGCGTAAAAAAGAAAGAAATTTTTTTTTTGATTTTAATCAAAATTAACAGTTCTGATAAGTTCGAATTTAGAAAATCACTTTAATGAAAGGTAATTTTATTACAAAAATTGTATGTAATAAAAATAAAAGATTTTTGGTAGTACAATATTTCATTTCAAAATGGAAATTTACAATCTTTCAAATTGCGTGTTCCATAGCATTGGAAACATGAATGTTGAACGGGAGAAGAATTAGTAAGTTTCACTTATCATTCTCTAACAATCACCCAATCCAACCGGTTTCTTTCATCCCGGTTTCTTGCATATAACAGCATATATATGATTCTCTCGACCACATCAAACAGTTGATTAAGGCAGCTGATTTAGATACAAGTATTGGCAGTAAAAATTATACTGAAGAATGCTAGCGATAATTTTGTAACGAACGAATTACTTAATTATTGTTTTTTGAAATTTCACTTTTCCTTCTTTGCCTTTGCTCTTTCATTTACAGTATCACAATGATCAACTTATTTATATCTCTTTGTTAAATTATTCATATCAAATTTACGAAAGATAGCAATCTCTTATCAAATTTACTAACGATGATCATTACAGATGACCATTCATTCAAGTAATGTACGATAATATCTGAACTCTTCACATAGTTTCATTTACATATAAATTACTTTATGGAAATTGTATTTCACCTGTTGAATGTTTATTAATGTGAATTGTAAACTCATTGAGATATTTTTTTTTTGTTTACTTTTCCAAACATTAAATAACATTCCATAATGTTTACAAATGACAATTTGGAATCATTTTAACACTTAAATAATTTTATGTTAAAACTTGCAAAAATTCATACTTTAGAGTAAAGCATAATTAAAAAAGAAATAAATGTTAAAATTTGTTCATTAGCAAAGTCCATCATTTGAAGTTAATTAGATATAAATGTATAATTAAGTAATATGCAAAAAGTGGAATAAATCAATTATGAAAAATAGTCTCAGGAAATTTACTAGCCAGCAGATAATCTTCGCAGTGATCATTTCAAATAAAAACAAAAGCTGTCTGTATCTTATCAAAAATGTTTACTATTTTTTTATTATAGAAGAGAAATAAAATTTAAATTTGTATTAAAGCAAAAACTGTTATTTCGTATTTTTTGCTCATTATAAATTTACTATGAATCGATGATATGTGATAAAGTTCTATTTGCGCAGAAATGGTACAGATTTGGTATATGGAATCATATCTATTCGGTGATCCACGATTACCTCATCATTTATTTCCTCCTAAAAAGATCACTACCGATGAATTGATGAAACGAACTGGGATACTTTATTTCAAGATAATTCTTGAATTCTTGTTTTTAATTTTCTTAATTTTCTCAACTTTCTCAGTTCTCTAATTAATATCGTTTGTTAAAGTTATAGCATTTCATTTTATTCATTGAATGAATATTATTTTTTTTCTTACTTATATAAAATGCTTCTTAATTAAGACTAATTATAATGCGATTTTTTCTAATTAGTTTTGAATTGTTTTGGAAAAATTTAAATTAACTAACTTTGCAAAAACTTGAAAAATTAATTATTAACTTGGAAAATTTAAATAAAATAACGAATGAATAATCAACTAAGGAATTTTAAAAATTAACTAAATAATTAATAATTTGATAAAATAATTGTTTCATTTGAAGGTTGACACAAAAGATAAGATATCAATGTCAGAACGAATTGCTTTACTTGCAAAGGAAAGGAACTTAACAAAGCAGGATATTTATACGTTGAATGCTCAAACAACAGTTGATTTCGAAGATAAGGTTCTTGACAAATAATATAAAAATTGTTTAGTAGCAAGAAAAAGTAATATTTCTTACTTTTTAAGATTTAGTTAAAATGAAATGTTTTGTCCATAAATTTAAATTTTAATAAGAATTTTTTTTTGATATAAATAAAACTTTTAGTTTTATTTTATCTTTTACTTCCAAATAGTAAATTCACATTCTATCATAGCTAAATTGACTGATGAATCATATGCTAATGATAGTTATAAAATTTAACTTTGGCAAGAAAACGCTTATGAATTTAATATTGAATTTATAGATTGAAAAGCTATTTGAAGAAGCTAAACTAAGTAGTGAAATAGCTGTACTTATTATCGAAGGTTCTGCATACTATGACATCGAAGATAATTACGGTAAATGGTTAAGGATTTTGTGTGAATTTGATGATTTATTGATTATTCCGGCTGGAAAACTTCATAGGTTCACGACAACAACCGAGGTACAGTATCTTTTTTTTAATGTATTTTCATATTCCTTATAAATTTTCATCTTTTCATAATCATCTTCCCTTTTTTTATTCTATCGTCTAATTATTCGAAAGTTTGATTCATCAATGAATGTTGAAAAGTATATAGGTCAATTAGAAGAATAAGCAGAGTAGGAATAGAATTAGAATTAGAATTAAAATCAGAATTAGAATTGGAATTAATTCAAATTGGAATAATTAAAAAATTCTGCTCTTTAAATTTTTTTAACTCAAAAACTAATTAATAACATTATTCTATTCAGTGGTCTCAATAATCTTCGCTATTCATAATTATTTTCTTAGAAATTCAATTACTACCAACTGTGAATTAATTTAAATACAACAAAATAGATATTATGCTGAAATATTTTTCTACGTTTTCAGTGAAATTCAATTTGTTTTATATTTGCAGAACTTCGTCAAAATGCGTCGCTTTTTCAAGGCTGATGAATGTTAGAATTATTTGATTAAATTTTTCATTAATTAAAAGAATTAAAACTTTCATTAATTAATTACACGTATTGTAAAATTCATCGGTCCAACACTTTTGACCTTTTGTTACCGAAAAATTTTTTATCTCTCACGGAACTCCCTGCTGTCACTAAAAATTTACTTCTAAATTATATAGTGAATGCGATCAGCTATTTCTTAAAACGTACATTCCAGAAATGGATAAGCAATTAAAGTGTAGAAATCATTGGTAACACTAAATAAACTGAATTGCGCATATTACCGGAAATAAATTAGAATTCGGTTTTTTTTTATTAGATAAAAGGAATCTGTCTAGAAAGCGGGATTCTCTCCAAAGAAAGCGGGATTCTCTCCATTCTTCCAAAAATAGTTTCAAAAGGAAAATGAACCATTCTAAAACTATGCTTCAAATGTCTTATACGTGAGAATTAAAATTCGAATTTTCTTTTTCTTCTGCTTTCTATTCTATTAGCATCATATAATGTCAGATGCATAAATTGGATCATTCATATTAGAAAATTGAATATAATGAATTGTATTAGTAATGCTTTTTGAATATAATAAATTGTATTGGTAATGGGGAATTGCTAAATAAAAAGAAAAGAGAAAACGAATGTTTTAGTATATGTATGATAAAATAAATCATTCACATATCAGAAATCAAAAATTATGAAAATAAGTATTAAATTAATAAATTAATTTCAACAAATTTATTTCTTACTGCAAAATTGACAATTTTTTTAATAATTAGTAGAAAAATTAACAATTTTCCTGATTCGAAATTAAAATAATCACATAGCAAATTGGAATAGAAAAAGAAAACAAAAGTGAAAAAGCAAAAGTAATTTCAATACCAGAATCTCTTATTTAGTCATTCTGGTTTGCATTCTCGATATGCAAACTGTTAAATTGCAACATAATTGATGATTAATAATGTATTAACAATTTTCATGTCAACAATGTCACCAATCGTATATCAATTCATCTTCGTATATTGCTTTAAGATATTGAAACCAGTTCTTTGAAGTATTTAAATTCACAAACTGATAATGTTAAATAGCTTAAATGATGCAAAAGAATATATAAAATGAGTGAGAGAAATAAAGAAAAGCAAAAATGCACCAAAAGATATGAAAAGCGATTACTGTAAAGACTCAAATTAATATTGTTAATGAAAAAGAAATATTAAAAAAATGAAATAATAATAATTTAGTAATATTTTTCATTAATTTCTGAAATTTGAGAAATACAAAAAAGTTGAAATTAAGAATATGAGATTGAGTGGGAGGATTGAAATGTTTTCCAATTTTATCGATTTTATCGACAGAATAAAATTTCAATTTTCTACACCAATTCAAAAAATTATACATAAATTTTCATATTCTGAATTAACCAAATATTTCAAGCATTTGAAGATGAAATATTACTGTAAATGAGAAAAGCAAGTTTATTGCACAAAATCACAGATGAAGTTGACAATGGTTGTAAATAAAGTTAACATTTAAATAGATCAAATTAAATTCAGCAACACATACACACACATTAACATCTTAGGAATGAAATATTGCCAGAAGATGAATAGAAATTGGAAAATGACTTCTATGATAAGATAAATGAGTGAAGTTTATTTGAAATGTTAATATTTAAAAGGTTAAGAATAAATTGAGACAAATTTTTTGCATTCACATTTTTGTGATTATTGTAGAAATAAATCACTTTGCTACGCATATTTAAGCAATAACATTTTCCTGTTCTTATTAAATTAGAATATTCCAATGGAAATTATATCTTTCAAATTTAGTCCTATGATTTTCAAATTTTTCTATTTTAACAAATTTTGTTTAACATTAAGAGAAAGTAATTAAAATTTTGGACTGAAATAAAAGATTTGGTAAAATATATGAAATCTGAAATGAAAAGGATATTTAAATTACTGAAAAGAAATTATTCGTAAATGTTTCAAAGTAATGTTATCATTCAAACAAACATTCGCTTGGCTTAATCAAAACAAACATTCGCTTGGCTTAATCAAAACAAACATTCGCTTGGCTTAATCAAAACAAACATTCGCTTGGCTTAATCAAAACAAACATTCGCTTGGCTTAATATCTGAAAAAAGTTTTAAATTATTTTAAATTATAAAAACAATTATTTTAACATAAAATTTAAATCGTAGAAATAATATTATAAAAATTAGAAGATTCTGCGTGAAATTTAATAAAAATAATATCATAAAAGTTATAAAATTTCATAAAATAAAATTTAAATCATAAAATTATACAAATATAAAATTTAAGCAAAAATAATATTATAAAATTTTAAATTATAAAAGGGAAATTTAATTCATTGAATTATTATTATGCAAACATAAAACTGTAAATACTGAATAGCAGAAGAAATTGTCAGTAAAATGAGAAATTGAAATTGAACTTTTGACAGATATTTAACAATAAATTAAAATTCTTAGATTACTAATTATCAATAAAGTAAAATGCTTACCGTATTATTGAATATTGGACAAGTTGGAGTTATTAAGCCACAGGTGTGTGTGTGTGTGTGTATATATTGGATGATCTAATCTATGAAAGGTATAAGAATTAAATACAAAACAGAATAAAGTGTTTGAATTTAAAATTTGTTTTGATGAAAATATTTTTCTTAGATTAACGTTGTGTATATTTCATTTTATCTTTCTAAAATGCTTAATTAAAATTTCAAGATTTAAGCTAAGCAAAGGTAATCATTGATATTATCCACAAAATTTAATATCTTTTATTTCTTCAGCTCTTTTTAAATCAATTGATTTTATAATGATTGAAAAATTAAATTAATTTATCTGAATTGAATTAATTTTGGATATATTAGGAAATATTATGGAATTCAAATTCCTTTCACTCAGAAAAATTTTCTATCACACTTTGTTGTGATATATACATATATATTGAAAGAGAGCAATTGTCCATTATTTGGTAGTTCTATTTTCGTCAAAATAATAATTAGTCTATGAATTCATTTGTAATGAGCACTTTGCGCCAAATATTTCAATGTGGCATTTACAATTATCGATCGTAAAATTCATCATCTTCTATGCCATCTTATATTTGAACGATAATTGTGATACGATACGATCTATCATACGATCTTTTTACTTACTTTCATCACTCAAATCTAATAATCATTTTTTCATCATAACAAGTTTGTTAATTTACCTAATTATATATGAGTTAATTCATAAAATTAACTTTTTACACCTTTTTTATACTTTCTTAACGATTGAAAGTATTAAAAAGTTAGTCTAATTTACTGTAAAGATTACTGTATCACTAAGAAATGCTAAATAAGTTTGATTGGATGAAATGAATTAAGACAAAATTATGAATTGATAATTTTGATTGGTGAATTCATATTTTAATAAAATAGCTAATGTAATGATAGATCAGATATGAAACTAATGAGCTTCGAATTGATTTTTCAGATCTTAGCAAAATTAAAATTAAATAATAATTTCCATAAATGATTATTACTTTAATTTTTTTTTCGTTGTAATATTTCATTCTTTCGTTTACTTATTGATTTTCAGGCTAATTTATGATATGATAATTTCCGGATTAAAAGCAGTTAAAGGTATATAACTGAAGTAATAAAAACATAAAGTAGCAAAACCGAACCGAATTATCAGAGAAAGAAACTGAAATTTATTCAGAATTTTCTCATTAACTTCAGATTTTATGCTTATTTTTTAATTTTTCTGTTTATAAATTTTAAAATTTTCCGGTTTTCTGAGGCAATAATTATTCAATTTTAAATATCGGAAAATATTTCCCGCATTTTATAATATATTTCATTGATATCTTTATATTTGCTATTATTATTATTATTATATCAAAAATTTTCCTTATCAATTCATTCATTACTTTTTATCATTTGCTATTAAAATAAAAATATTTCTTATAAGAAATAAAACTTTAAAGTCATTCAGGTAATCGAATTAGATCACAATAAAATCAGAAAGATCGAAATATGCCAGAAAAATGCGATCAGAACTTAAAGAATTTACGGTAGGTTTCTTTTATAGTTTTTAATAGAATGGAAAATTTTAATAGAAAATTAAATGATAAAAATAGTAACAGATAAAAATGCTTTTTGGTATTTCAATCATAGTTTAGGTGCTTTTGAAAACAAATTGAATTTAAGTGAATTATCAAAGTGGGAATGTTAAACACTAAACAATTCTTAAGTAGCAAATTGCTGGAAGAATAGTGACATTAAAAGGATTACCATTAGCAATGACTGGATCCGATTGAAAGGATTACCATTAGCAATGACTGGATCCGATCTTTTAGCAAATTTATTATTATATTTTGGATATATGTATGTATTAAATTGATATGAACCTGACCATTGTTTATAAAATTTAAATTAAAATTAAATCTACAGTATCAGTGAATGATTTCAGAATGAGAGATAATTGGGAAATTTTCGATTTAAATATGAAAAATAATGACATAATGGATTCAGAATTAATTACGAATGTTAGAAACAGTCCGCAGAATGTATCTCAAATTCATTATGCTTCCTCCAAAATTATATCGAACAATAATAAATTAAGAACGTAATTTAACATATCTTTTAACAGGAAGGAATTATCATCGATTTTATAACTTTTTTTAAATATATTTTTATCAGTTCATTAATCATTTTTCTTTATAATAATTAAATAGAAATGAAAAGAAAGGAATATTTATAAAGTTTTCAATTTATTTTACAGAAATAGCCTTCGACAATCTGAACGATATCGTATCCATCATTCTTCTATTCTGAATATGTTCCCAAATTCGCTTCACAATTTCAATTACTTGCGATATGCAAAAGCGGATGAATTAAGAAACGAAGAAAGAAAGTTTGTTTTTGTTTTCTTACTCATGAAATGATTCATCTTTAATCTCATTGAATAGATCGTTTCATCTAATATTTCTAATAAACCCTTCTCTTCTACTGAGAAAAAATTGTTTGCCTCAACTCTCTCTCTCCCTCTCTCTCTCTCTCTCTCTCTTTATTATATTTTCATTCGGAAATACAAAAACCTTTACTGCAGTATACCGAAGGTAAGTATCAAAAACTTATGCGTCACACTGGATAAGCGAACTTTTTTCGAGAAGTATCTGTCGAAAATTTCCTGTACATCAAACTTTCTACATGATATCTCATTTACCTTGGAGGGTGGCAACACGCTTGCAATTTTATATACAAAAGGTAAGTCTCATTAAAAAATTGCCATATCAATATTTTTGATCATCCGTCATCTCAATATTTTTGAAGTATACTTTTTGCCAAATGCAAATATAACTTAGTCTTAAAATTAGAAATTAATATTTAGAGTCAGAAATGCGTGTTCTACTGGAAGTAATGTCAAATACTATGTCACACAAATATTCAATTAGTGGAGTATTGGAAAATAATGGACATAAAATAAGTATCGATAAGTTTGGTGATCGTGTCGCATATGTTAATACTGACAATATCTATCCTTGGCTTACAGTAGCACAAACAATACGTCTACGAAGTTTATTTGTCGCGTCGAATGCAAATACTTTTAAAAACGTCAATGCGGTAACACAATTCTTATTTATTCATCACTATTATCTGACTTATCTGAATATTTATTCAGATTGTTATATAGCAACTTATCGATATATTAGTTCATGATATATTACTTCAGATCGAGCAACTCATTCAAACATTAGCTCTTTCACCAATTCGCAATTTCTTGTGCAGCGAACTTTCAATGGTAGAACGGCAACGTTTGAAAATTGCGGTGCAAATTTTGAAGGATACTGGTAGAGTGATTTGTGATAAAATGATAAAGTTCAATTGATATTTAATTAATTTATCGCACTCAATCCTCAATTATCTGTCCAATACAATAATCCAATTAATAATAGTTATTTCTTTATTTAATGCTTCAATTATTTTTTATTAAAAAAACGAAAAATACTTAAAATAATCATCAAAAATTAGGATAATATAATATATCACTTATTACATCATTTTGTGATACATACCAATACATATAATAGTAGTTTACTTTAATTTAAGTTCCATTCATTCAGTTAAAAATTTAAAATTTTCATTTAATTACTATTTACTTGATAATTTAAGATCTGGCAAATCATTCAATAGTGATCAGCACATGAAATTAATAACTCTTCCAGATATACTGCTATCGGATAATATCCTAAAAGACATGGATTTGTATGATATGGCATTTGTCATCGACTATTTGCGCGACTGGGCCATAAAGTTGAATCGAATTGTTGTTATGGCCATGCAACCACCAACAATTGAAATTTTAACTATGTTTCATAAAGGTCTATATGTGTGTATGTGTGTGTGTGTGTGTGTGTGTGTGTGTGTGTGTGTGTGTGTGTGTGTGTGTGTGTGTGTGTGTGTGTGTATTGTCTTCATTTAAAATTACAGAACATTGACTAAGGAATTGGAAAGTTAAACAAGGAAATGTATAAAACAGTGAAATGAACGTAGAAAGAATCGAAGTTCATAAGGGTTGAAATTTAGAGGATTTAAAAAAACTTGGAAATATTCAGAGTTATATTTTAAAAGATGTGCATTTTAGTATTATTGATAGCATCTGGAAGAGTTATCTATTTTGGATCATCAAGCCAGATGATATCTTATTTTGAAGAAATTGGCTATCCATGTCCATCGTTTAAAAATCCATGCGATTATTATGGTTGAAAATTTATTTTAAAAAATCTTTTGCTACTAAACAACAATAATTAAATTACATGACCAGAAGAAACAATGAAAAATTCAGAAAACAAATAAAATTCATATTCCCATTTTTTTTTGCACCAAATTTTGCTTTCGAATTCATTCATATAATAAATATTATTTCATAATTTACAATTAAAGAATATTCATTTTTTCCTTACAGTAATGAAATGCAATTTTTGCAGTAGACTTAGTGACACATGACTATTTAACCTCTCAGTCATCTTTTGAATCAAGAAAACGGATCAGACGATTAGCAGAGATTTGGAAGGAAAAGGCAGTTAATGATGAATACGAAACGCAGGTGATAACCGATGAATTATCGCCAACGGTCCATCAAATTAACTATTGCCGATCTGCGCTTCTTATTTATAGGCTTGTGTTTTTTTATTGTGAACATTTAAAAGTTTGCATTAATGTACACAACTGAAAGATAATTCAAAATTCTGAAATCATTCATTCAACTGTTTATTACAATCTTTTGAAATTCTGAATGATTCAAAGAGTTAAATCATTTTTCAAGAAAATTTAATTATGAGAATTTTTTAGTTTTTGCTAACAAATTTTGTTGAAATCAATGCATCATTTTGTTAGATATTAATTATCATTTTAAGGAAGCGTAGCATAATACATCCTTTTCTCTGTGTTCAATTTTCATCGGTTTAGACAAGAAGTCAAATATATTGTGTTTCAAATATTATCATCCAAATTCTCCTAAATTTAAAAATTCATAATTTCAGACGTTTTTTCGAAATATTTTTAAGTAGGCCATGGATGTATGCGAAGGAAGCAATTTATGCATTTCTCATATCGCTTTTTGTGGGTTTCCTATTTTTCGAAATACCAAATGATCGATATGCTGCAATTAATGCTCGTTTTGGATTTATCATTTCCATACTGGCAATTTTTTTACTTCCTATTCTTTTCATTCATATCGAAAGAGGTTACTATTTAAAATTTACAAATGAAATTATTATAATTTATTATCATCAAATTGATAATATTATTTTATTTATCGTTTCATCAACGATAATTTTCCAGTATTTAAAATTATTAACGAAGAGTGAAAAAAGAATTTGCAGTATTTGATGAACGTTTATATTTGTTTGATGATATTCGCAATCGGTTGTATGATCCAACTTTCTACATTGTCGTTAAGGTGCAATTCTTTTATATTATGTTCTAATTTTTTCTCAAATCATATCATTCTCTTATAGATTTTGTACTATTGTCTTTTTACACAAATTTTCACATTTCTTAAAATAAGCATAATCGTTTGAAGATTATTTGTGATTTACCTATGGCAGTGCTGTGTAACACGTTATATGCCTTACCAGCCTATATATTAAGTGGACTTCCACCTGATGGTACTTTTTATTGGCCATCTTTACTCCTATTCACTGTGATTCTTTGCACTCATGCAATTCTTTGGAGATATATCACATGGATTGTAGCATATAGTTGCTGCACACGTCTCTCTGCAATCGTTATAATTGGTACCATTTTTGCATAATTGCTAAATACGTGAATTAAATTTGTGATATTAAAAAAAATTTGAAATTATGCTACTTAAATAAATTATAATAAGATAAAAGTAGATTAAATTTCGATGTGGAAATGATCAAGGTTTAACTAAAATTAGTTATAATTTTCTTTTTTTAAATGAATTAAAAATCAATTTCATCTATGATATCATTTTTCAGTAACTCTATTAAGTAATGCGATAATGCTTTCCGGTTTTCTGATTCATCCTAATAGTTTTCCTGCAATGATCAAATTACTATATTACTATAATCCAACAAAATTAGCTGGTGGATTGTTGGCTGAAAACGAATTTCTTCGTCGGACCGCACTCACTAATTGGGTAAGGCTTCTAACAATTTTAAAGTAATGGATATGGGGGTTTTTTTTAATAATTTTATTAGTGATAACAATAATTCTAATAATGATAATAATAATAGCAATAATAGGTGTCGGTACTCAATGATATTTCCAAATTCATTTCGTAATTTTTGATAACGTTGTATAATTACGCAAAATTCATAGGTTCCCACTGGAGAAGCATTCATTAAAAAATCCATAACATTTCATCTTTAAGAGTTAAACAAAAAATACTAATTAAGAGAATAAATGAAGTGTTAATTCCAGTTTTTTAAAATGTTAATTAGCAATTCAACCGATAGTGTCAATATCACAGAATTGTTAATTGGTTGCGAGAAGGAACAAATTTTAACAAAGAAAATTAATAATGTAAGGCTAATCTTATTCAGTAGGATAGTAGTTGAGATGGATTCGGATCGCATCCTGAATCCATCCGTCTAAATTTTATCAATAAAATTTAAAGTTTTCGTCGGATATTCGTTCACAAAATTTATCTCTTTCTCACAATTATTATGAATTATTCTATTTGTTATCAAAATTAGATTCTATTAACCTATTAATATCCGTCGTATTTATAGGTATCTATTTACACTCTTTCACAATGTTCCAGAATTCGTGGATCACAAGCTCTATACTTCTCAGGTTTATCATCAGCTACATTTGCATCATCCGATGAACAATTAAATGAAGCTATCCATATTTATACCATTTGGTTTCTTACTGTCTTCACAACACTTTTATTTGTCGTGCGTTGTAATCATAATAAATCATAATAATAAATGTTATCATAATAAATGTTACGATAAATCCCAACTACAATTTATTGTAATCTCCTAAGATAAGATTGTTGACATAATCATTATTTGTTATACGAGATTTTGTTGTAAAAATTTCAATAGATATTATCACAGCAATCTTCTATGCAAATAATAAATGATATATTATTGTTAGATTGAATAAAATCAAAGTAACGAAATCAAAGTTAACGAATCCTTGTTCAACATTCAATCCTTTTTCGTTCTCCTGGTGGAGCAAAATCGTATTCTTGGATCTTAATTTGTTCTGAATTTCAGCTGGCGTTATTTTGTAAATGATCTGATTTGAGAAGAAACATAATTAATAACCGACTTCAGTTCTCAAAAAGTACTAACATTTTTTAATTCTTATAAAATCTACGAAGTTTTTGGAATCACATACCAATTTTATATTCATTAGGATCTTTGGTCATTTGCGAGTGTTGATTTATGGACTTTGATTTCAATTTGGAGCTCACAACATCATGTAATGCTTACGCAAACAGAAAGCAGTAAAAACTGAACGGCGAAAGACAGCAAATTTTGATTAATTCTTTCATTCATAATTGATTTAGCTAGCCATACGCTTCACCAGAACAAATAACAAACAAGAAAAAAGTATAATGATGAAAAATGGAGAACCTTAATTATTTAAAAAAAGACCAAACCAAAATTATGCAAAAATATGGACATGACATGTAATACATAAACCGAAAATCAGGTGAAACATCAAAATGAAGCATTTTTGATGGCATCGGACGGCAAATCGATTCGCAACACGAGCACTTTCATCGCTTCATCGCTTGTTAGCATAAGGTTATGATGCTGTAACTGATGGAAGCACTCTTCTGCCTCCCCAACACTGTCTACATTTATTATAGACACTATCTAAAATTTCTGAACGGTTGACGTTCTGTCAAAGTTTTTAATCAATCCAGCCAGAATTATTAACAAATCACAAAAATCAGAATGGTTTCAAGTTCTTTTCATCTTGTTTGAAGAAAGAAACAAATCTAATTCTTCAATGCCCGATTCTAATATAAAATATTTTTTGGAATCCTATATTCAATAAGAATTTCAAAAAATGTAACGATTATACTTAAACTGATAAACAAGATACCTGAGATAACCTCGCACATTTCTCACGCATGACCCAACCAGCAACGTTAGTCAAGTATGAGCTCAAAGAACGAAAATCTTTGTCAAGTTGCAAGCCACCAAGTCGATTATAGACGCTTTTCATTATCACACGCTCGAACTGCATAGAAACTTCGGCACAAACAACTACCAGCAATTCCTTCAATTACTTTTCCATGATTGAAATTTCAGAAAATTTTGGTAAATCCCAAGCTCTCACAACAGCTTGGGAAAGTCTAATTCCATTGTGTAACAATTATGAAAATACTACCTGATAATTGACGGGGATAAGTAACGGCTCAAAAGCTGCTAACTGGCGATCAAGTGTTGCGATGAAATTATCCATGAATGGATCCTCAGCTTCAAAATCAGCGAATTCACTCTCAGAAGGGGTATGAGTAACACTCAAATAGAGCTCCATGCTAAACAAACTTGCGTAGTTTTTTGTTTTTGTACTTTTTTAAAATAATTTTCAGAAAGCAAAACGAGAAAATATCAATTTCTAATTTCCAGCAAGAAATCAAAATCTAAGCTAGTTAACTCGAAAAGCTGTAATATCCATTTGCCTAGTGCACAAACATAAAGTGAAAAGAATACACGGGTTTCAATTTAGGCCGAAATACAGCTGCGCACAATTTATCAACACCAACATTCGCAGAACTGTCAAATTTCCGCACTAAATCATCCAGCTGGCTAACTGCGTTTTCCAATTTGCCTTTCTCATGTTCATTCACCTGAAAAAGTGATCACGAAAAATTAACATACAAATATCACTTATTAAGCGTTTTTCATAAATGCTCAACCTATCCTTCACGAAACTGCTACGTGCATTTACTTACCTATTAGAGCTTAGATCCCTTTACTTCCTCCCTTCATCTCTTTTTTGCAAAAAATGTGAGAACCTACACATTGCGAAAAAAGCAAAAATTCCACACCTCGGTTAGGTGCTTTTCAAAATCTTCCAACAACCCTTTTTTCAGTGTTTTCGTACATTCAGCGGATGCACGAACATTGTTTAAGGCGTTCAAGAAAATCTGGAAGAACAAAATGCATTAAAATGGCAACTTATTCTACTGATCAGTTGCACTTTTGAGATTCTGAACTACTTTCACATGTCAGACTTTATATGACAAAAAGATTTCTTTTATGTCCAAGCTCAACGAATAAAAACAATAACAAAGCATCAGGCAAGCTCAAACTTGCCAACATAACAATTACTTTCAAATATAGACTGAAGATACACAGTGTAAAAAAGATTTTAAGAAATATATTCCATTTACGAGATAAAAAGTTTATTAAAATGCCAAAATGTTTCGACAGTGCATCAAAACTTCATGAAAGCTCACTTCTTTCAATTTCTCGGGTCCAGAATCTGTAACCATTTTTCCATGTTGTATAACGTTATATGCTGTTTGCGCCGTTTGATATGCTTCAGCAGTCCAACCTGCGCCAGGATAACCACTCTAAACATCATATCTGATTAAAATTCTTTTTTGAAAGTCATATGATAATTTTAAAAGTTAGATAACAAAACATAACAAGAAAAAATTATACTGACTTTCAAGAACATTCACCTTAATACCCTGAAATATATATTTCAGAAAATCTGCTTCTAATGCAGTCACACCATTATTTAACACAGCACATGTGCAATCCACTGATGATGAACTGAGAGAACGTCTTACACATTTACGAATAATGAAAAATACATCATCAAGCATGCAGCTGAAATTGTTTTTCCGTTAAAGTTCCAGATTATCCTTGAAATTCGGATCATGCATGAATAAATAAAAGCTTCCAGAGAATCATTGGTCGTATGATCTCCTCAACAGCGTAACTATTACAGCAGTTAGAAATATGAATGTATGTTGTGACGCCACATTTTAACACTATAAAGCATAATATAATAACAAATCATCGGTTAACGCATCGTTTTGCAGCGTTGAGTTTAAAAAACCTAATAAATTGTGATAGATGAATAGTACAGTACCTTGTTAAGCTGTCGACCTCTTTTAAATCCATAGTCATTGCCTTTGCAACAGACTCTGTCATATAAAATTGTTCCATAAGAACATACTGACCCAACAATTCCTGGGAACCAAAAGGTTTTCAAACAGTTCAAATATTGTGGAATATTAGTTATCATACGATTTCGAAAAGATACGATGATGGTTTGGACTAAAGAAATATGATTAGATCAAATGGTTCACAAATACCTGCATTCTTGTCCCAAGAACCGACCGCAAAACCAAATCATCCAACTTGTTACTTCTTTCATGTTTCTGCTTTGATCTAGCTTTTTCCAAAAGCCGTTTATTTTCATCATCCATCTGATTCTCATCCAATTCCTTCTGCTAAAGAAAAATTTCATTTAAATGCTCTGAAAAAAACTTCAATGGAGTGAATTCTATTTCTTTGCACCGTATATGTCAGTACCCACTATTTTCATATGAATCTGCTCCCAGAAAGATGGAGATGGGTGACATTTATAGAACTGCTCTGACAAGCAATAAAAATCTCTCCAAAACCTATAGAAGAAAATATTTTCAGAGTGGCAACAAGAAATTTATAACTAGCGCACCTCCTGATCAGTTTTCATATTTGCCACATTCAACCGTCTCCTAAGATAACGCCAGTAAAGGTGGGTCCTAGTATGCATCAACGTCACTTCGGATAAAAGCACATCCAATTCTAAGGCATCGATTTTATCTGAAAAAATAAAGAATCGACTTTGAAGATTTATATTAAACAAATTAGTGACTAATCAAGGCATAAGTGATTCCTGAGCGGTATTCGTTCAAGCTATCTTATTATTCCCAACGTAAATAAAATTATAAAGATGAAATTTTGAAGATCTCGATAGCGATAAGAATAATGCATTAACCTAATACGTATTTATCCGAGTTTCTTCTTATCTTCTCAATCATTTTTGCTTTATTATCAAACTGTCTATTATTGATGAATGCATCAATGATTCGTTCAGCTTCTTTGTCGCATTCCTTCTAAAAAAGGTTAACTATTTCAACATATTCCCATTATTTTTGTACTTTTGATTAATCTCTTTTCAAATTCAAAAGATTTTAAAATAAAATTCAAAAGAAGAGCAGCAAACATTCATCAACCTGGAGTATTTCAATCAATAACAGCAACTTATCCGGACCATATGAGGAATTAATCAGTGGTTCATACACTTGTATCTCACGAGCTATTCCTGAAATTCAACTGACTATTAAAACCTGCATTATCATGAACGACTTCAACAGATTCAATTCTGGATTCACCTTCAAAAAGCATTGTCAGTGCATCTGCATAAAGCACACTTATTCTCTTATCATCGGTACCACCGGCCAGCATTACCTTCAAAAAAAAAAAACTACAGATTAAATAGGAGAATGGAATTAAAATGACAGTACGAACTGAATTATGAATTGTTTTTCCGAATACGCACTCAAAGTCAAAGATATTTCAAATTTACTTTTGCTTAACACACTTGAAAAGAACTTATTGAGTTGCAAAATGAATAACGATCCTCAAACTAAAACTATTCACTAAAAAACAGTAATAGACACTATAAATGCTAATAAACTTTAAGCAAATAGAATCGTTAATCTTGAACATTTTCTTCACACGGGACATAAGAGAAAAAATTGCCGAGAAACTTTTGCTTCACTACCAACATAGTGAAAATGACAAGCTCGCCTTATAATTCCGTTCTGCAAATTGATGGATCTCAGCACAGAGATAGTCACCAATCCGTTTGATACCTTTTACGTGTTCATTAACCAGTGGAAATAACTTAAAAAATCTTTGAATCGAAGCAACATCGTTATCTACAACAGCCTGAAACGGTTTGCAAAAGTAAGAGTTAACAAAATAAAGCAAAACTATGAGAACCGTGAAATAACCGGCGGAAATTTCAAATAACATTGATCATTATAAAAAAAAACACAAATAGTACATAAAATGGTGTCTTGTCAAAATATTTCCAAAAAATCATTTAATCAGACTTCAAATCCTATTATATTAATAATGCTTCAATAATTTATTAATTAGGATTGGTATGACCGATCACTGGCCGAAAACACAGCAATGGAATAATAGAGTTACTTGATCGAAGCGTTTTTCGATTACTGATTTCATTTCATTGGCTGCCTCGCGCAAGATTTCGTAACTTTTCCCCATTGATTGGCCTATATCTGGTAAAAAAATGAGTAATTTCAGCAATTAAAAAGTGATCAATTATGACACTTATTTCATTTGTGTGACTGCTCACCCTTCGCTTCTTCCTGATCACTCATTTGAAATATTATTGTATCCAGCGCCAAAAATTTATGGATGTGTCTGGCAGCCAATTCATAATCCTCTTGTTCTATTGCAGAACGTACACCATCAGCACAAGTACGCAAATCCATTAAATCACTGACTCGTTGTAAGCATTCGACCACCCGGCCTTTCGCTATATCTAATGCCAAGACCTGAACTGAAGATGATACTACCCTGAATCAAAACCATTTTTTTACAAAAGACAAGAAATGTATTAAAATTTAAGCAGATCAGAACAAAATTATTAAAAATTGGTAAACTAAATACCTTTCTAATCTACTCTTTTTTTTTTGCTTCCTTAAACGATTAATGTGGTTAAAAGAGTTAAACTACCTTGCCTGAAATGCTGTCTGCTAGGCCAGAAATCATTTTCAGTTTATTAGCAAGCTGTTTGGTATCAGATTCAACCAACGTCATTTGATTCTTGAGACGTGTAACCGCCAGATTAAATGGTAAAGAAATATCTGAATTAGCCGTGTGTTCTGCTGAAATAATTGTTTAGAAAGCTTTTTTGCGCCGACAAAAAAAAATTAACAAAAGCGGTACCTCCACTAATAGAAGTCTTGTGCAGCATTTCATCTAGGCTTCTAATCAGTGCTTCTTCTTCTTCTGCTCTTGCCACCATTTGTCCTCTGCAAAAGAACAGTGTAGACCTTCAAAGCTTAATAGAAGAAAAAATCTAATAAATGATTTATACCTCAAGCTAGACAGCGTATCATCGAAATCAAACTGAAGATCTTCTGATCGTTTCGGTTTCGACCGCAATGAACCATTCGGAACATCAACTAAACAAGTTTCTCGTTGTTGAATACAAATTAGTTGTACCATAATATTTCTTATAGACCTTGAATTATTAATCCTGAGTGTTTTTGCTAAATTTTTTTCGTACCTTCCTTCAACCGAACAGACTTAAAAAGACAACAAAAAAGGGCTTAAAAGCAATTAAATTTCAGAACCATTCCATTTGTTGCATGCTCCAATTGCAGAACTGACAGAAGCAGCATCGTGGATATTCACCGACTGCATACTTGATAAACTTTTTCAGTGCGAGAAAAACCTAAACAAACACTAAAATCATATATATATATATATATATTGTACTTCACAAAAACAATTCGTTCCTATTTGGAGAATTTTGTCATTCTCCAGAATAGTTTTATATTTCGCTAGAAAAATAAACATAAAAATGATTACCGTTATCAATTCGATGAAAAGTTATCAAAAAAACAATACAATACTTACACAAACATCAGAGAAATGATAAAAATATTCCACAAAGCAATGAATATTCGAAAACTACGCAACGTTCGAAGAAAATTCCGTATGCGGTCAGTAACTAAACGATCTTCGCCCTCGATAATTACAAATGAATCGAAATGATTTGATTTAGATCTGAAATAAATTCACACCAAACTTGAAAAAAGATGGAGAAATTACAGCAAACCAGATGAAATTTAAAAGGAATGTACATTTTGTTGCAATAGTATGCAGTTAAGGAAATATAGAGAAAGCAACAAAACGATGTGCAAATTTTGTTCTCATCTTGAGCACTGAAAAACAATTTGCTATTGACATATATATACATTGCTTATATAATTAGAAACTCTTACAGTTTGAAATTTATAACAGTGAAAGCGTTTAATAGCAATGTAGAGGAAATGATCAATTCAGAGAGCATTTCTGATTAGTTCCAATTGCATCCCTCTGTTTAGCACCGAATCACGGTCACTGCAAAGGATGACGAATGAATTATGAATTTTTGCCGTGAACATCGCTTATTTTGTCACGTTCATAGCAATTCTAATATATGAATTCTGTTTAAGTCCGTTAAGTTTAAATCATTCAAATCCAGCTCACCCACACTCCATTCCAACTTCACTTGGACTTATTTCAACTGAATGTTCTTTGATGATGTTCCGTGTAGCTCAGAGAAGCCTTTATTACTATAACCGCAATTCTCCCTTCCTTGCTAACCCATCCGCTACTTTCACTGAGGCCAGACCACTCGCCTGACCAATACTTCCGACATTAACGCACACACACTTTCGGCCTTACGCACCGCCGGAATAGAAGATGGACGGAATGAGCCACTATGAAATCATCAAATCTTATGATATTCTAGGACCCCGTATTGACAGATACGGACTAATCTCTGTATTAGAAGTTTATTCCACTTATGGATATTGAAAGTGAAAAGCTAATAAATATCTAACGTATTGGTTCAGATTCTGCGCTTCAGAAATTTCTGTTTTTTTTCAGATATTTCTAAAGTTCAGAAGAAACTTTCATTCCATTACAAATGTCATTAACATATTTCAATATTGAGAAAGTGTCCGTCATTATTTATATAAAATATTTCTAGGGATAAAAAAATCTTAACAACTCATTCTCAAGTATTATTTACTATTAAAAAACCTAATGACACTTTCCATAATGTTGCAAACAAAAATTGGTCATTGTTAATTTGTCTAATAATTAATTATGAATCAATTTTTGAATTACCTGTCCAAGGAAATTCATTGCGGCAGTATATTCGACTTGGCTTGGGGCATTACTGGGTGAGTATTTAGTCCTAACATTGTTAACTTCATCGAGTTTTAACATGTTTAAGCTCGATATGCTTGATATAGTGAGCATGATGACGATTAGATAAACTGATTTCCTTCCAGTGAATACACGCAAAGTTCTAAAATTGTTAATAACCATTTTTTCCAACGTTTTGTTCATTTCCATTATGATTTGTTATGCTGTCATTTTGACTTATCTTTAAACTTTGACCTTTTTCACCATAAAATAAGTCAACTTTAGACTAAATGGCTAATATGCTTAATTCATATCACTCAAATATATATTATGGTATTAAATAAAAATTTATTAAGTACAAACTTTTGAAGGCTATTTGAAGTTTAAAAAATGATTAAATTGCATGAGGGAAAAGAATATCTGCGGCCTTAAATTTCGTACTTTCATATTGTTTCATTTAAACAAAAGAAAAATTAAAATTTGAAGAAGGAGGCGTTTATTAGAAAACTGCAATATGAGCATTAATTTTCAATATTTATTAAGTGAAGTAAGGAATAAGAACTATAATAATTTAAAAATAAATTCTCAATATGTATATACTATAACATAATGAATTTTGTATTCAGTTAATCAAAGATTTTACGATGGATTTTAAAGTTTGCTTTAAGTTCATTCCCAGATGCTGTCAATATGATGTATTGTTCAATATCTCGTTAAAAAAGTCCCATAACGATTTTTCTGTAAATTTAAAAATTTACTAATTTCTTCGATATGCAGCTTATTTTCGCACCACTATCAAATAGGACTACAACTCCCTCGTAAATATCAAAATCAACGATTCTAAAACTTCTCAATGAAGAAAATAAATTCAGTTTCACCTCACCCATCGAACACTTCCACGCGAAAAACTTGAAACAACAATATGAAATCAAACTGCGGGTCATCAAAGAAAAGATCAGACATCTTAATTATTATGCTGATATAGTCATTCAAAAGTCATTCGTATCACCGAAGAAACTATTAAACAATTAAGATTTGCGAGAAAAAACAATTGCCGAATATTAATGGGTGGGTCGAATATCTTCGCTCGAGTGCCTAATTTTCAAATCAAATTTGTTTTCTAAAAATATATGAAGTAGATAATAAAATTCATTTTTTGCCTAACATTATTAAAATAAAAGAAATGAAATTCAGAATATCAATTCTATCGAATTTAAGCAGTGAATAATATAATTTGATTGATAAGTTATGATAATTTGGTTAATAAATTCGATTAAGAAGATCTGATTGATAAAATTGTAATTTGATTGATAAATTATCTTCAGTATCTTTCTTTTATATTTCATTCATTACTTCGAAAAGTTATGGCGATATTTGCTATCATTTTGCTATTTTCCATTTGTTTCAATAACTTCATATCAACTTGAACTCTTAATGAGTATAATTAATGAGTGTAGTTCCTCGATTTTTTTCCATCTTCCCTCATATTAGTGTATTATTGACAACTTGTCGTTTATACATTTGCTGATTTTAGTCAAATTCCCGACTTAAATTACTTAACTCATGACTACTTTCAATTCACTTTTGCTTCAATATTTCTTAAAATTTCATTCCTTACATTATAATTCATTTTAAGAAAGTAATACTTTATATTTTGAATTTGCATATTACACGACAGTAACCAATAACATTTGCAAAGATATTACAGTCGTTGGAAAATTTGAATGGTTTGATTAAAGTAAATTGATCAAAAAGTTCCGGCGACCAATTCCAATAACCATTTCCATCAGACCAAAATCTTTTGCTTACCCTTTTCAGACCATTTTCATAATTTCCTGATCATCTTTAAAATAATATTAATACGCAAGATTTAATGTCACATTATTATTCATTAACACGACAAAACAACTCAAAATGTTGCACAGATAATGACACTCCACAGAAAGCACTCCAAATTTATCAACAGCATGAAAAAAAACTAATTGAAAAACGGGAGGCCACCAGGCAACAAAGTGAAAACCGAAATACTTTTGAAAAAAATTCTTGATTAAAATTCTATTGTCTCTTTTCTTTCATAATCAAAACTGGAAATGAAGATTTTAAAATTAAATCACAAAAAATCAAAAATATTTAACCTAGAATAATAACATGTGAAAAGAGAAATTTTGAACGAGATAATGAAACACAATAACTGTTGGATTTTGCAATATTATTCAAAAATGAAACTAAATAGAAATAATATAAAGAACAAAACATAGCACAAACAAAAAATAATAGAATTATTTACTATTCCTTTTATTTTGTGAAATAATAAGCTAAACAATCAAACTACAATAAATTACATCAAAAATTAAGTAAAATTGATAATTTTCATTGTTGACGGAAGTAAATGGATATTATTAGGTTAGACAAAGCTAAATAACTAAAAAGAATCCATAATTTACTCGGCAACAAATTTAAATTAAAAATAAATAAATACATGCATACAAGAAAAATTATGGGAAAGCCCAACAAATAAATATTTAAATCCAAGCAGAAATAAATCGATACATGCACTGATCAGATAACTCAGCTAAGCCACCAATGGAATTCACCGTTACGAAAATATAAACAGCATAGAAAGAATACTTCACCATTATTAAAGGTAATATAATAACACAAGTATAATATAATAAAAGTATAATAATATATTAATATAATTAATATAATGTAATAGAATAATATAATAGTACCGACTGAAAATCTAAATAAAATACAATTGCAAAATGTTAAAAAAAATAGAAAATATGAAACAAATTGATTAACAAATTTACAAATGGGTGGAAAAGAAATACATATAATTATATCTTTAACAGCAAACAAAACAATAATTAATACTTCTTATAAATTAGGAATTCCGCGAATGAGTTATATGAATTAATACTTGGATCAAATACTGGGGAGTAGTTGAACAAGAAATTCCTGAAAAATAATGTTATGCGGTGTTATGCATAATTTCTACTTAGTTCTTTTGTTTGAAGAAAATAAGTGCCCTTTCTGCTTCAAATTGTTTCGGTTGTAAAATTAAAAGAAAACAAACGAGATAATAAAACTGTAAATGGAAATATCTAAAAAGCGTAAAACTTACGAGGACTTTAAAGTAGTGCATTTTGATTTCTTGCTGGATTAAAATGTTGGCTAGTTGAAGTAGCAAAATTTATTTCATCAGCTACTGAAATATATCTATATGTAAACGAAAAAAATCAAACTGCAGAAAATATGAGAGTAATTTCAAAAGCAAACTTAATTTTCGGAATTAAATTAAGCTTGAACATACATTAAACTATTAATCATTAAAGAAAAGGAAATTTCTAACCTTGATTAGTTTGATGAATCTCTCTATTACCCAATATTGAATCGATGTTAAATATTGAAGATCTTAGAGTATTCGCCGAATGGATAAAACTGTTGCTGATATTGTTATAAACAGAATAAATAATATTTCTATTATCAATTGATGGACCATATGATTGTTGGAAGAAAGCCATTGGTGATAATGGATAAGCGATTGGCAAGTAATTGAAATTGTTTTGTTGCATGGGAATCCGTGACGAAGTGATGTTATGAAGTGTGTTCCCGTTGTTCAAAAGAATCATGTTTGGATCAAACGGTAAAAATTCTTGAGAACAAATTGGTATTGGCATAAATTGTGCAAGTCTTGACTGTTGGACAACTGATTGCAAACCATTGAAAGGTGAGAAAGTCTGAGAAGCAAGAACTGATGTTAAATCAGCAGCTTTCTAAAAAAAGTTTAATTCTTAAAGAAAAAATCTCAATGAAATGTCAATAGAAAACTCTTGAGTTTAAACTCGAGAACCTTTCAACAGGTATAAAATTATTCGAATAATTCTAACAATGCGTTTTTTTTGAGATACAATATCCCAAGCATCAAAACTGTATCTTCTCTATATAGCTGGACAAAACATAATGCCGTTACTGTCTTAGTTGAGATTAACATATAAAATATTACACAAACTTGTAAACAGGCAGATAAACAAATTGCTAAAAACAATGTAGAAAGATTTAAAAAGATGGAATTTGTATTCTCAGAATTTAAGATTGTAAAAAACGTTCTAAGCTATTACCTGTGGTTGAGGTCGTAAAATTGACATGGGAGTAGGGTCCTGTGATGATGGAATGACTTGGTTTATTACAGCAACTGGAACATTTTCCTTCTCGACATCTACATTTTCCTGAATCAGATCAGTACCTTCAATTCGCCTTCGCTTCTCTGCTGGTTCGTCAACGCTATTGGATAATTCAGTTCCTTGCTTTTTTTTATTTCTGAACAAAAACATTGTTAATGTAAACAATAGTGTACAACATATTCACAGTATATAATTCCCATTTTCATAGATTAATAAGTCATTATAATTTGAAAGTGTTTCGTTTTATTTTGCCTCATTTATTGCTATTTTTTCACTGACAACTTTTGAAATGAAAAACAGTACATTTAGTAGATGTGAAATAGTTTAAAAACGATTCAAAAAAGGCAATTAATTACTTCTTGAGGAAAAAGGTTTCCAAACTTTCTTCCTCCACTTCGTATGCCTTCTTTTCTTCCGAATTTTTCAATTTTACGGACAGCTTATTGAAGCGAATATGATGGAAGAAGTCGAATTTACCATTTTCTGAAAATTTTTATGATGGAAAAATCACAGTTCGCTGGAAGAAAGTACAGAGATTAAGAAATCTTAATAATAGTTTTACCAGTAATCTTGGGACCACAGTAGACGAAGAGTGGAATTTTTTTCGTTCCAAAAGTAAACATTCTGCGTTCTATCAGTCGCAGTGAAATCAGGACATTTGCAACATCGTAGATCCGTCGACATCGACCTAACATTTGAATTAAATTTTAAACAGCTATATATTGAACAAATTCAATGAATTTTTGTAAATTTATATAACCAGCACTTTCCAGCTGAAGTTTGTTTTAATTTGAATCTTTGATTACAGTTCTCTAATGTTGCTTCATTTTTTATCATACAATTTTTAAAAAGAAATTCCAGAAAAAGTAATTTTTAAATAAAAACTTACTGCGATCTGGTGGTTTGCAACCATCAATTTCGGGGTCCTTAATCAGTATGGTACTTGCAACATCCAAACTTACTTTGTAGTCAGGTTCATAATCCTACAAACTCTCCAATTATTTACTTCTTAAATAAACAGAAATCAAAAGAAAACTAAAAGAGTTTTTAATATTAGTCGTAGCATCAGATTTACTTGATTTAATTAATATCGTTTCGTTTCGTTTACTTGCACCTCGTTTCTCCTATTGTTTCACAGATTACCTGAGAATTAACATCGGTAATCTTGGGAGGAATTTATCTGCGATAACAATAAAAAAACTAACCAATCCGACAATTAAAATCTTGAAAAAATATTTGCATAGATATGTTAACGAATTCAATCCACGCTGGCGTTTGCTTTCTTTTTTCTTTGAACAATATTGTTTTGATGAAACAGATCCGTTATTACTGTTTCCCGGTGAATTTGACTGTTCCGCAGTGGAAATGTCATTGTCATCAGGTGTTTGCGATGGTCCGGCACTATCGAGAGATCCTTAAGATATTGGGGTATCATCTTTTAAACATTTTAAAAAATCAATAAATTTTGTAACTATTATTTGGATATGAAGAAACGTAATCCTATCATTAAGTTAAAGTTATATAAATTTCATTATCCATAGAATTTTTTTGTAATTCAAAATTATAAATCAGTCTCTCAATAACAATCAAACACAGTTTTCTTTTCAGAAAAAGAAAACTTGAGCATTATAGTAAGTAAAAACAAAAGAGAAATAAATAAATAAAAGTTACCGTTAGCGTTTCCGTTCATATTAGGTACTTCCATGAATCGTGTCATTACATGCTGTGTCATTAAAACTTTTTCATATACAGCCTCTTTGTCTGCTTCTATCTAAAATAAAAATTTCAAAATTAAAAATTAGGAACTTTGGATATTTTCATAAGATTTTATTATTTCATTTCTTTTCTTGCTAAAATTTTAGTGGAAGGTTCTGAATTTAGTGGATGGTTCTTAGAAATTTAGCATTTTATATAATTTTAAAAACAATGAAAAAAGAAGGAAACCTTTTGATTATCTTCCATTTATCCACTCACATTTAATTTATTTAACGCTGTTCTATTACATCAATCATTTTTTGAAGGGCTTTGGAGCAGAGAAAAAAGTCAAAGTATTAGTAAGACATATTTTTCAAAGTAAACACTTTTCAGTTGGCTTTTATAAAACTGTTCGTTATCAAAAAAAATCAAATTATTTATGTTTAATTAGCACTATAAACTTCATTATCCGTACAACATACCTTGAGGTTATGAAGAGTAGATGGTAAATTATCCAATCCTTCCCAAGTGTAGAAACTTTTGTGTGATTTTCTCATAGCACCCAGAGCTTCCATAACGTTTACAACATCATAGATTCGACGCTTCTCAACTTCTGAAGTTACGTCGACAAGTTTAGTTTGAAATAATTTAAGGTTATCTTAATACCAAACAAAATCCAAAGTGTTAGGAAATTTTATACGGTTTGTGTCCTACGCAAAACAACCTTCGATAGGATACAAAGTAATACTTTAAAATTTTAAATTGCAATAAAGTTTATATGAAGAGCAAATATATCGACCTCCCCCAAAGTCTTACTGCATTAGTCTTAACTGTGTTTAATTTTTCCAATTTTTAACATACTCATAGAACATGCGATTGCTTCAAGATTGATTTTATCATCTCCACAATCCACATATTCAAGTACTTCCAACAAAAATCTGAAATTGAAATCATTCATAATAAAATTGTAGAAATTGATAAAAAATTTATAATTTTTCTGCCTTTAAAGTCTTTTTGTATAAAGAAAAATGATTCAGAACAAATATTTGGAAATAACTTAAGTTATTTTTTACATTTTTTAGAATCTAAATTTAAAACTTCAATCAAGACTACCTCCTTCCCTTTTTCTTCCATAAAAGTATGGTATACGAATTTTGTAAGAAAGAGATTAGCGAATAAAAATAAAGAAAATTCAAATGAAGAACAAATAAATTAACAGTCAAAAAATAAATGAAGAAAATATAAAGTTTATACATTGTGAAAGCCAAAATGACTGGAAAAAATATCGAAATTGGCGAGTACTTTCCTAAAAACACTAAAAAACTAACTCAAGGCCATCTTTGAATTATATCTAATTCGATATAAAAGTTGGAAGCGATTAATGATTAAAACAAACTTCCGGCAAAGAAGCCCTAAGGTTTTCGTTTTCCGCGGAAAACCATTATTCGGCTCTTCGGCACCGTTTTGATGGTTTGAAACATTTCCATTCCGTTGACCTCTATTTCCAACCGCTTTTTCAGCTTCTTTTTGATTTATCGGGTCATTCTCGTTGCATTCAATTTTACCTTCATTTTCATCCGATTCTTTGCCAGTACTTTGATCTATCACATTTCGTTTCCTTTTGATTTCACTTCTGCTTCCAACCGGTTCATCAATATCACCTTGATCCCTAAGGATATTTCCGTCCCGTCCCATTCCATCCCCGCCCTCAGTTAATTTTTCATCACTACCTTGACCATCACCGATGTTTCCGTTCCATTTGGTTTCGTCACCATCATCACTTGATTTGTTATTAGTATTTTGATCATCACGGGCATTTCCGTTATGTTTTATTTCATTTCCACTCGTTTTTTCATCATTACCTTGACCCGTAATGATCCTACCTTCATTTCCGCTTGATTTTTGACTTTTGAGGGTGTCCCGTTTCCATTTAACTTCATGATCATTTCCACCCGGTCCTTCATAATCATTTTGACCAATTGAGAAGTTTCCATTCCAATTAATTTCATGTGAGCTTCCATTTGGTTTTTCATCATGACCACATTGACCCCAATGGGTGTTTTCATTCTGCTTAATTTTTCGTCCATTAACATTCCATATTCCATTGCCTCCTGAATCGATTGCGAAATTTTCATTCCATTTAATTTCACCTTCATTTCCATTGCGATTTTTATCACTAATTCCCTCCTTTAAAGCCCATTCAACATCAGCTTTGTTTCCATTCTGTTTAATTTTAACCGTATTAATGAGTTTTCTACTCTCTTCCACATCATTTCGTATTTTTAGAGCTTTCCGTTTACGTGTATCATCGACACGTGAATTCACATCGGAATTGATAGCTGGAAAATAATTTTTCAATTGCTTACTTTATTTTTTTCTTTAATTTTCTTATTTTATTTTCTTTCTCTTTCTAAACTTTCACAAGGATTAGTTACTTTAGATAGTTCAAAGAAACTTGTAATTTTTGACCTTTAAAATTAGGAAAAAAATTAAAAAAATTCCCAGTTTATAGTTGTCTGGAAAAGTCTTTGGAGTAATTTTGCGATAACAATAAGGCTGAAGATTTAGATAAACCATTTCGATTCAAATTATTCCTAAACAAAAAAGAAAACTAAGTATGTTTGAAATTTATCGTTTTGTCGGGAAAAATCTTATATAAGGGATTCCAGAGTGGTGCAAAAACAGAGAACTAAACTACCATCTTAGCGTAGAGAATAACTTTAGTATCATTCAATACAGTGCAAATAAGATAGGTACAGGTTAGACTGAAATAAACGAATTATATGAAAAGTACTGGTGAAATCGATGGAATAAAAATATCTATTGAATTATTCTAAGAAATGTTTAGTAAAATCTATACTACCGTAACAAATTGATTTACTATTTTCATTAGCAGCTAATTTTTTTCCATTTGTTTTACAAATATATTATGCCTTTTGAAATATGAAAAATGATTCTGCAAAATGTGGTACATTATTATTTTTGTATCATTTAACTACTATATTTTATGAATTACAAATGATAACTGCTGATTATACCCGCTAATGTTCGTTGATTTTCATTCACCGACAATCGCCTCGGTATCGAAAAGTCCTCTGCATCCTGTTAAATTATATATGATAAGTAATCAATTTTCAATTATAAATGATTATCACCAATACTGTCAATTATTCAATTCTGAGAAAATATTTATAACTGTCGATCTAACATTTGAGATAATGAAGCCAACCGATTTTCTAACTTTATATCAAATTTTCATCAGAAATCATTCCATGATTTCGAAGAAGTCATATATATACATATAAATTTAGAAAAAGTATACTTGAAACACTGGAACCAAGGAAGACTTTGGCATATTTAATCCAGCAAAGGACTTTTTGCATTCTCCTGAAAACTTCGCATAAAGTAAGTATTCATGAAAAACAAATATCATTAAAGTCCTTCAATAAGAATTGTGAAAAAAAGTGATTAAGCTTAATGCCAGCATTCTTAAAAAATGTCAACTCATTAAATTAAAGAAAAAAAAACATAAGAATTATGAAAGAAGTGATCAAACTCGATGCCTTGAGTAATCAAACAGATTCTCCAATACATTGCCTTGGAAAATTTCAAAATGATTATGGGTTTGGAAAGTCATTCCACCTAACAATTTCAAGCAATAATTTTTCCTTTTCTCGGTTAAATTATTCGGAAAATTCTTCAGAGAGATGTTTAATATAAAACGAACAGTTTCAATTAATTATTTAATCAGAATTTCTTGAGTTAGTAAAATTTGAAGAGAGAATAGCTAAGCAGAGACATGAACTTTTGAAAATTTAAAAGATCAACTCAACTTAAAATCAGTATAATAATGGTACATCAGGAAACTATTTCTTTGTACTTTCGAAAGCTTAAACTTTAATATATTGTAATACTTTAAATTTCGGAATAAAACTGTTTTATTAAATTTCTAATTAAACATTTATTAACAAAAATTTCAGCTTAGAATTTAAACTCCATTCAATAATAAATATAAACAAACCTTTGCAACGTAGTGCATCGCGTCGAGATCGACAACATATTCCATCCTACAATACGTGCTATATTAATTTAACAATTGTATAAAAGTAATAGTAATAAGTGATCTTAAGGTATCTATATGATTATCACTGATCAGATTGTAAGCAATTGTCTGATCTTTTTACACACCTATGATAGTAAAGATCGAATTATTCCATACACAAATTTTTATGAAAAAAAAAATTATCTAACAATCATAAAACATTTGAAGATTCTAGTATAAGTAAATAAATATACTTCAGATGAATGATTCTTTGACAACCGGAAATTTTTTTCGGAAGTCGATGGATGTTGTTGATACATATCAAAGATACGATCTGAAAATTTTATTTAATATAATTTCTCGAATTAGGAAAAAAATGAAATGTAATCTAATGTAGTTTTAAAATATAATTGTGATTAAATTTAGTAACAGATATATGCCAATATTATTGTAGAAATTTTTAAACTACGATTACTTTTCCGCAAGTTCAATTTCTTCCAAATTATTCTAAAAATGATAGAAAAAGCTTCGAATAGTAAAAAGTAGCAAAAGATTTCACGAAAATGAAAAAATCTTCATGTCTTTTTGGATAAATCATCCATTCCAAAGAGCCTTACACCTGTCAAATTAGTAACATTTCAATTAATCCCTACCTAACCTTCCTTTCTTCCATCTCATACGATATTCTGTGAAAAAAAAAATTATTTAAATTGTACATTTTAGTATAAAATTTTTCAGACTGTGAACATTTTAAAAATTCTGAAGTCCAATTATTTTGTAAACACGCATAAATCAATACAAATTAAAATATTACCCCAATCATTTATCAACCAATTATTACTTTTTTGTGATTTCTTAAAATTTGAATACTTAACACTGAACAGTACTTCAAATCCTAATATGGTATTTATAACACTAAAGGGAGATCAAAATGTTTAATTTCATTTTTCTAATAAATATGCGAAATTTCACTCAAGCAAATTACTATTGACCTAATACTTAAACAAATGAATTAATTTCTCATCTTTTGAACTGCCCCCATTTCCTCCGGTAGTCAAGTAACTATCTTAACATTTAATCAAATAATTAAAATGCATCTATTGTATCAATTACCATGTTATTTAGTTATTACCGTATCACTTCATTTTTATTGACAATTAAACAATTATGATTTTGTATGTATCCATGTTTTGCATATCATATATACATGTATGTGTGTATATATATCTGTGTGCATCTCTGTGTATGTTTATGTGTATATGATATCATCAAAGGTCACTCATTCCGCTTATGACCTGTACGGAATGTTTTCCTTCTTAAAACAAGCTCCCAGAAAACCATTTTACCGCATAACTGAAATAAAAGAGTAGTGCGAAGTGAGCCGGATTCGGAAAATGGAATAGAGATACGATAGTACTATGATAGAAGTTTGAGAAAGAAAAAAGGAATCAGAGAATAGATTAAAGGATACGCAAAAAGTATTTGTGGTAAATCATTCCTCCTCTTACTCTCCCTCCATATGGTCATCGATCAAAATCACACCGAACTGCAGCTGTTTATCGTTTTTCTACCATCTGATCTGTTCAATTCTTCCCTCTCTAATGTAATACCATCTTGTTGTGAGAAGTTGGGGATTAATAAAGAATATCATCTGAGTGACCTCAAAAGAATCAATCTTTGATCACTTCGATAAAGATCTGTTAGATTCATTAATCGAATTGCTCTTATCATCCATTTTTTCCACTTGTTGTTTTATCGGTGTTTTTTGTTCCTTTTTTGTTTTCAATTATTTTTTTAAAATGAAAAAGCCGAGAATTACAATTTACAGATCTGTTAGGTAACGTCCACATTGATGATTGACCTCTATGACTAATTGTTAACATCTGGCAAAAAAGAAATGGTACAGAATGATTTCTTATGCGATTAGTTTTTCTTCTTTCTATCGCTTCAAATTTGGGATAATTTACTCCTTCTTCCTTCTCTTACTGCAATAATATTAATGAAAGTTAACGATCAGATTATCTTTTACTAACGTTTTAGAAGGATAATTATCAAAGTTGAATCATTTAAAATCGCTTAAATTGCATTAAATAAATATGCAATTCTCGCAACTTAAATTGTTAATGTATACCAACTAACTCGTAATAGAGATATCATTTACACACGTGAACGCAAAACACGTTTCAGAAACGTATGAGAGCCCAAACATGTATAGAAGAAGGAAAGAAACAGTTCTAATTCTTTATCAATCATTTACTCTATGAATTACATTCAGTATCAATCGTTATCAAGCGCTTGAAAGTGAAAAATATCAATCAATATAATCATGAGGGATACTGTAATGTTAATTTAGGATTTAGCCGATGAATTACAATTATAAAATTTATACTGAAAATTTTATTACTTCCTAATGTAAAGAAAAACTGTTGAATTTGAATTAAATTTGTAAATTTCAACTTAAATTTTGAAAATTTTATTAAAGATTAATTAAAAGAATGGTCCTATTTGTCAAGTATATTCATATTGTTGCGATGACCATATGGTTGGTTTCCTATCAAAACCGGTATAGCGCTCTAACACTCCATGTAATAGAAATTAAAGAACTGAAATAACCACGATTTGAAACTATTCCCTGATAGGATAATCGATTAATTAATTAATTAATTGATGAAACAAAGTACTATTTTATAAATAACCATAGCATTTATGTATATATAGAGAAATGAAGTAATAGTATTTATGTATATATAGAGAAGTAAAATAATGAAAATATCACATGTCGTTTTAATCGAATTGAAAATATCAGAACTTCTTTACATAAAAAGAATTAACATCATATATATATGCAAGACGATATAAACAGTAATGATATGAAGGAAAAATTGATAATAAGCGCTGCTGTCAATTTGAATTTAAATTAAATCCATAGTTTCAGTTCAAAATTCTGAAAGTATCAATTCTATTTCATGAAAAAAGAAAAACAATATTTCTCTAATGTATCATATGATAAATACCTTTTCTTTCCCCAATCATAAGAAAATTATATTTTGGTAATTCAAATTTCAAACAAATTTTTGTTCTTTAATTCAAAATTCGACGAAAGCAATTAAACGCGACCAACTTAACCTGCTAATTATTTGAAAATACAAAAAGATCTGAAAATTTCCCAATAATCAATTCATTTGGAACGGATCGGATATATGGCGGTAGATAGGAATACATACCAGGACAACAGCGCCAATGGGTACCCTATTTCGCGCCTAAATTCATAACTGTCTATTGGAAAGAGAAGGCAAGGTATGAATGGGTTCATGTCACTTCTCTCTCTTGCTTCTTCTTATTCTCATTTTTGAGTCTCTTTCACCCTTTATCTTCTCTCCAATCTTTGTCTCCTTTCCCTTTTTTTTCTCTCTGTATCCCTGTCTCCCTCTCCTTTTTCCTTTCTCTCTCTTTCGCTCCTACAATGGAATTATGTACAGTTAGCTGCTGCTAACTATATCTATCTATTACCGGGAAGGTCAATAATAATTATTTCAAACTAATTCGATTGAATTCATAATTTAGATTTAAAAAAAGGAAAGTTATTGAAATTCATCACTGAAATCTAAAAAAAATTTTACTTTGAAATAGGAATCCGAAAAAGTATTTAAGTTATATTCCAACCGAATTCATATTGTAATCTATAAGTTCTTGTTAACGAGGAGTTTAAAATTTCGAAGAAAGATTTGTAATTTAATACAGTCCTGAAATTTCAATAAAATCCAATTTTGAAATGAAATTTTAAACTCGAATCCAGAATCTAAAACTAAAAAAAAACACGGTATCAAAATTGGAATTTGTAAAAGTTTTAAATCAAATATCAATCGTTATCAAAAATATTTCATTTAGGATTGAAATATGAAAAATCAAATAAATTTGTTCTAAGGGAAATCAATCGATTTTTTAATGAATTAATAATAGAAAAACAGATATGGAAATGAACAAGTTCACATTGGCCTCATCTCAATTCAGGATATGACGATGATATAATTCCTGATCAGGTATACTTCTAGAAGAGGGAAAATGCAATCGAATAAATGAATAAACATACTATTTGTTGTAAAATTCCGTCATTGACTCTTTTTTAAATTTAATTCGTTTTATAATTCCGGAAAAATTCTTACTTACTTTTCAATAATTATTTCAGGAAAAACTAATCAAATTTATCAAAAAGAAAAATCTCGAAATTTGCGGGATCCATTGAAGATATGCGGAAAGTTCAAAATCACGTTTGGGCGCGAATACATTTCGATTAAGTGGGAAGTGGGTGTTATTGCGTCACCAGAAGCCTTTCATTACCATAAGGAAGGTTAAATCGGAGAGATGCCAAAGAGTGGTATTCAAAAGATACCTCTAAGAGGTCATGTGAAAATTCTATTCCATCACAAGTAAAGAGGTCATATAAATAGTCTATTCTATCGGACAGAAGTAAAGAATAAAAAGAGGATAAAACTTTTTTCAAGTGTTACATTTTGTTTTTTGAAATTTATTCGAAAGTATTGGAAAAGTTTTATTTTTTTGGGTCATTGACTGAAAGGAAAATTTCCTTTCTATCATTCATTTCTCTCAATTGACCTTTGATGTTTTTCAATGTCAAATGTCAAACCTTATCCTCCACTCTCTTTCGCCCTTTTTTTCTTACTAACAACATTGAAAAATTTTTAATATCAATTTAATTTTAACAAACGAAATATCGATTATGCTATTTAATATTGATTGTATTAATTTAATAGAATTTTAACTAAAATTCATTTAGACAAAATTGTTAATTAGAGTAATTAAATTGAACTTCTATTGTTTATTAATGGATGACATAGGTAGATATTGATGGATTGTTGCTGTAAAACAATGAAATTGATCCCTAAAAAAGAGATGTAAGGATGAATGTCACATAAATAACTTAAACAATACCATGCAAATAAAATATGACAATATTTCTCAGCAAGTAATAATATTATTTCGCTCATCCAGCTATCATCCCTCTT